CAATTGTAGCTACTAATGTTAGGTGTTTCTTACCTTTCAAGTTTATCTTTTGTAAGAGGATATGCATAAAGGATATCATCAAATCCATTATCTGCATAAAATTCTGCTTCCTTCAAAGTTGAAACAACAATTTTTCTTCTGCTTCCATTTGTTAAAATGTCACCACCCTCTCTGCAAAATATGGTCTTTAATTATTATTTTTGACAGAATTTGATACTTAATCTCAACAGTCAAAATCTAAAAATGAATCATGAAACAAAACCCTTTGCACATTTAAATCAGTTTAAAGTACAAGATACAATTATTGCAAAAATTAAAGAATATATATTTTGTTATGCCAGGATTTATAAAAACTAAAAAGTTATGCCAACAAAAATCCATTACTAAAAATAAGTAAGTTTTACATTGTTTTGTGAGTTTTCATGTGTGGTCTTAGCTTAATTCCATTTTGTTCACACCAATGTCTCATACGGCTTGCGTTTTCTTTTATTTTATCAATGTCCACTAAACAGCATGGAGTCTGCAATTCAGATATGGAGCTGGGAAGCTTCTTTTCCATAGCTGAAACTGAAACAAAATTATGGCATCAATCATATGTTCAAAATAACAATCATTAAATAAAAGTCCAATGCAATACTCGACTTCTGATTTATTGCCAAAAATGGAACATATGCATTTCATTTGGGTAAATAGTCAAAACAAAACCTTTCTTTTAGTTTCCTTCATTCAAATTTTCAAACTCAATAAAGACATTCAATTATCCATAAAAAATAGTTTTCAGTTCAGTTGTTAGAAAACATAATGACAATTGTTTCTTAAAGAAATTTTGATGTTTTTTTGTTCATTGAGAATTTCAGGAAGCAACCTTAAATGAACAGATTTCAAAGTAATTTTTTCAAAGAAACATTATATCTGAAATTATCAAAGGTTCATATGTAGTCTATTGTGGTATAGTCATATAATAAAAGATTAATGAAATAGCATATAATTTGAAAATGACATAATCTTAAATGTCAATATCTGAAGTCCTCCAAATTGCATTTCAATTTTAACAAATTAACCATGAAATTAAAATGGTATTCTAAATAACTGATATGAGTACTGAACTATGGCGTAAACAAAATATTGTAATCAGTCACAGAAAATAATTTTATCGGGTTGCAGAAAGGCTGAGTAGTTGATTTGCATCAAATGAAAATGACAGCTTCATTTTAGAAATCTCAGAAGGCATTCAGGAACAAGGTGAACTGAGAACTAACAGATCCGCGGATCAAATATGGTCAACCAAAATTAAAGCGGAGCCAACTAATCCGCTGATGGTCTCGATCCCTGCCTCCACACGTGCTGTCCTTGCATTGCAGGGGTCTAGCAATCCGTTAATTGGTGCGTGCAGAGGCGGTGGAGGGACCATCAGCAGATTAGTTGGCTCTTCTTTTATGTCGGATCGGCCAAACTTAGTCCGTGGATCAGTAAGTCCGCGGATTATCTGTTCTGAATGCACTCTAACTTGTCTAAGAAAATCAAATATTCAGAAATAATCACGGCAACCCGGTGGTTAAAATAGGTCAAAGTGCAGATCCAGGTGTAACGAAACTGAAGGTCCGTGTAACAGAAAGTCCGCCCTCCATTTAGAAAAAACGGTTAGCCTGACCTAAGTGGTCCAGAATCTTGGGCGAGGGTTACCTGTACTAATGAATGAGGATCGGAGTTTCTGTCACGCTACACCGCAAGACTCCCGCGACCTAATTTTGGTAAACCTTGACCTAATTTTCTTCGTTTTTATTGGCCAGCATACATGTACTAATTACTTTGATCAACAGCATGGAGACAATGTGAGATCTCCCGGTGTATTTTAGTCTGTTATGAAGTATTTGTTTTTGTAATTATGTGAAAAAGATGAAGTGAAAGATTATCAGAGTGCTGTCCACAAGCTGTTCAACCTCTATCGGCAACATGTCGAGCGTGATCGTACAGGTAGGGCAATGTGGAAACCAAATTGGCCAGCAACTTTGGAAACACATTCAGAAAGACAAGAAGGCGACAGACAGGTGATTGTTTGAACATGTCCTTGATGGTTATAAAATTATTTCATATTAAGTTTATAAAGTGCCGATAGTGAACTTTTTTTACATCACGACTGCTGTTCCTGATTTAGTGCTCTACCTGTGCTCTTATTAACACCCGGGCTGCATTTTTTAAAGATTTAGAATGAGATTTTTTGTTATTGGTGAAACATTATGACTGTACATCTAAAAGTAAAAAATTTAACGAGCTTAAAGCTGTTTTTATTTTTTTTTCCTATTCCAGCCATGTGTATGTAAATCATGATGGAAAATTGAGGTCTGTGAATGTAGACAGTGAACCAAAGGTTGTGAAAAAGCTTCTCAGAGATGCAAAGAAAAGGTATAAACATATGACTGTAAACACACTCATGTACAGCTGGGAGGAGGGAAAACTGGGGAGTAGGCGGACAAACCCTGCCACTCTTTTATTATAAAGCTTTGGATTTTGAGAAGGGCACTGCCCAGTTTGTTATTGCATAAAGAATGTAAAATTCTTGTGTGATACACGTACACATTATAGCATTAGCCATCTGAAGAGAAGGGAGTTTAAAGCTATGAAAATTGCCTAATAAGATCTTTCTTTTAAAATATGCAGCATTTATGATATGTTATTATTTTTTTCAGCAATTTTCGAGAGCAAAACATAATTCTTGGAAAAAGAGGAAGGGGTACCAATTGGTCACTTGGTAGGTTTCCCTGTCATGTTCAGAGTACAGTGAGATAGCTCCAACCCATCACATAATGACATTATGACAAAAAATATTTTCAATCTTTTAAATGCAATATACTAGTATGTAGGGTAAGTTGATTAGACATATTTATCACTAATCAATATGTATTCATAACTTTCAAGTAACTTAAACTCTGTGAGGCATAAAATTCTTATGACTACATATTGCTTGGCGATAAATGCCGCCTGTCATTAAGGTTACCATGGATTACCTGGAGAAGATAAGTTGTTCAATGATGCCCTTGAAGCCATTAGGAAAGAAGCTGAAAGGTACAGCATGTATGCATATTACAGAAACTTCCTCTGAGAAAATGTGCTCAAAGAATGTCAAATATGCAGATTTTTGTTTTTCATTAAATAGTACAGTATTCACTTCCATACTTCCAATACATGAGCCTAGAAATAGTGTTGCCTTTAAAGTTCTTCTTAATTAAAAGTCCAAGATTGCAGGGAATTCCTATAGAAATATACACGCTTGCCCCTAAATGTTGATCTTCAACTACACACTTGTTTATAGGAATTCCCTGAGACAGAGTTCCCATACCAGGTACCTAGATCAATTAAACAGGATTGATCCATCTCCAAGAGGTTTCTCTCTTAATTGCTTTCAGCTTGAGCGGCTAAGATGTCTGGCAGCCCTACTGAAGCTGCTAAACAATAATTAATTATTTAAGTAATAAATTACCCCCTAGCAGCTTTAGCAGGCATGACAGATATCTAAGCCGCTTAAGTTGATTGCAATCCCCTAAGAGATAGATCGATCCACAGTTAATACGGTAGGATCTGGGAATGGTCACTGTTTTAAGTTGTATTGGTATCATTTTTGGTCAGCTTGGATATTTTAAGTTACCCAAAGTTGCCAAAGTAGCAACCAAGCTGAAATAATTGTTCTGTGACTCAATGGGACCTTGAATCAAGGAAAAAACTGTATAGGAAACACAATGTTTAGGTTACAAAAATTTCACCTGGACTAAAAGAATTATGCATGCACTTACAATAATACCAATATTATAAGAACTATACATTTTAAAACTGTTTTCAGATGTGACTGTTTTAGTGGGACTATCATGATCCATAGCTTGAGTGGCGGGACAGGCTCAGGTATGGTCATTTTCAAAATAATATAACATGATCTTTATAACTATTTTGACTTTGACAAACTAGACAGAGACATTTAACAGAAAAATTAGCAATATAGGAAAATTTTTATCAGAAACAGCTGAACTCTAGGTCCTGTTTTACACACAAATGTTTTGTATTTTAGGTCTTGGTGCTCATCTTTGTGAGGCAATTCGAGATGAGTATCCTCTACAGTACATGTTATCATGTCTTGTGGCACCACATTCCAGTGGAGAGAGTCCTCTGCAGCACTTCAACTCTCTGCTGTGTTTGTCTTGGGTTCAGAGGTAAAGGTGTGCAAGAACAAGCAATTTCAAAGGAGCGGCTCTTTTTCTGAAATAGTGGACCTTTACCATGAAACCTTTGTGCACCTTTATCAATTTTTCCTGACAAAAAGAGTGGTTTGTTCAAATCCCCCACTTCCAAATGGCTACGGGCCTGAAGCACTGGGTTTGACATTTTTAACTTTTATTGAAATTTTGAACCTTTGATTTAAGTTGAAACCAGTGTAAGCAGTCTTGTGGAAATGAGATTGGTTAGAGCAAAAATAATGAAAATAATGATGCCAATTGGGAAAATGTACCCTTTGTAGCAAAGTGTTAGTAATGTAACAATCAAAATCATTCATTTAATCTCAATTTTATTTGCTTTTAGGTACTCAGATGGTATCATTTTATTGAGCAATGATGAGATCCTGCATAGACTGCAGCACAGACAGAAAGATAAAGTAGACCAAGAGCCCGTCTCCTTCTCTCAAATGAACCACCATATTTCATCCTGTCTGGCTGGAGTGTTGTTACCAGTGGACAGTCTCACACCAAGCAGTGGGGTCAGTTTGGGGATGGAACCCTGGGAGCTAATCAGGTCCGCCTGCCCCATGCCTGCACTCAAGATATTACATCTAACTCAGGGTATCAAAAGGTAGGTCAGAGTTACTCTCTGACCACAGGGTGCCCTATTGGTCTGTTACACACTGTGATTTTGTATATTATTTTAGGGCTTCGTTCACATGCAATGTCTATTTTCTAAATTCTATTTTCTATTCGCGCTATCTTATGATCACAGTCTGTGCCCTGAATATCCCGCCGCGTAATTACCGGCAGCGCGAGCCAGTTACTTATAGTAACTTATAGTAACTGGCTCGCGCTGCCAGTAATTACGCCGCGGGATATTCAGGGCACAGACGGTGATCACAACACATGCCGCGAATAGAAAATAGAATTTAGAAAATAGACATTGCATGTGAACGAAGCCTAGGAGACCCTGTTATCAGAGGGTAGGCCAGGGTAGAATGTTGCTATAAAATGTTGATTACATTTACCTGATAAAATTTTGTGGGCTGAATGTGACATTTCTCTTGTCAGTAATGTTCATGATCTCTTTCTAAATAGTCTGCACTTGCAAGTGCGTCCTTTTGACTTATGACAAACATTTATTGATATTTGATTTCTACTCCTGCTCAAAAATGGTCTAGTTACATGTATTGTAATTGTTTAATTTGAAACTTGATATAGAGATCCTGCAAAACAATCAATAATAACAGAATAATTTTTTTCTGAACATGAATTGTTCTTTCAATAATTTGTCAAAATACTCGGATCTCCATATTAAACCTAGGATATGTATCATTTGGAACTTTTTCTGCTAAGTTTTATCATTGTGAAATATGATGAAAGCTGTATGCTCTTAAATTGCTTTTTTTATTTCAAATTTTGATTATATATTTTATATATTGGTTTAATATTTTCAGCAAATCATCCTGGGACAATGTGGCCAGCTCTTCTGTGTATTACTTAAAGAGACATGATGCTCAAGGAAAAATGGTAAATATTTCTATTATGTGTTAGTACCCCGGTACTTCATGCAAATCACATGAGTTGCAATTACTTTAGGAATAGTTCATGGTACGAATATAGTGATTAGTAGTGGTTTTAAATATTTACCTTTTTGTCACATAAAGAACCCAAAGAATGTGATTACTCAGAAGATTTATATATATATATATATATATATATATATATGTGTCAAGCCATTTATTTATTACACTCCTCGATATGCCATATCTGCAAAATTTTTGAAGCACAGAATTATGTATTTTCCCATTTCACATAATTTTAAAGTGTTACCTTTTACATGCTATTTTTTTTATTCATTTATTGTTATTGTAATGGTTTTTGTCATTTCAGTATTCCTCCCTTGCCAATGTGGTGATAGCTAGAGGAGATACCCATGGTACTTTCCCAGATTATATGAAGCAAATAGAAGATAAAGTGAAGTCCACATACAATTGTGTCTCATGGAATCCATACCCTGTGGATTTCTGGACAGGTAAAATAACAGATTATTTTCCGATGAAAGAATACTTGAGACTGAATGTGCATGTCTGAATTTGGATAATATGGATTCTCATATTGTGAGTTTTCAGATTTCTCTTGTCTTAGTAGTCTTATTGGGCTCTCTACTTATATTGGATAAAGCATGGCACTACACAGGTTTCGTTTGCTATATTGTTCGAAAGCAAGGAAGTGTAGCAGAAAACCTCTATATATATGGTGTAGTAGAGCTAGTTCCATTGAGTGCCTTGAAAAGCTACATTTATAATTAATTGACAGTAATTATGTACATACATATTTTCTGTTGAAAATTAGTATTGGTAGTTATGACAAGAACAACTGTAACCTGGTGGTATATATATCTGTATTGTGGTGTTAAATATGTCCTCATTTTACCAGGATCTTTTTCTCCATCTCTTCAGGTAAATTTAACCCAGCTGGAGGTAAAGATGCATCTAGTGTCACCATGGCAGCAAACTATACTAATTTCTTGTCTCCAGTAGAGTACATGATGTCTCAGTCTAAGCTAATGTATGATGCAGGGGCTTATCTACACTGGTATTGGAAGTATGGTTGCACTAGGGTAAGTTTGTCTGTCTGTCTGCCAGTCTGTGTCTGCGTGTCTGTCATTTTTTTTTATGTAGAGATTCATGTCTATTCAATACATTTTTGATTTTTGAGATTTTTTTTTTTTTTTTTTTTTTGAGCTGTTAGTTAGATTCGTGTCTATTCAGTACACTTTTGAGATTATGTACAGCCGATAGTCTAGAATATTGTAGTGAAACCAACTCACTTTTGTTTCCAAGCTTTTATGTTCACAAAAGTGAATTGGGTAATTCTTTATCTGTTCAGTAAACACTTAAGCTTCTAAGGCTGTTGTTATCTGACAATATAATCCATATATTTTTGTGCCTAAAATGTAAATATGCCTAAATCCTGTCAATGAATATTTTTTATTTTTTAGGATGATTTTGATCAAGCTTTTGAATCAGTTTCTGACATTGTCACAAACTATAAGGAGGCAGTAAGGTGAAGAACATAACTGCAGTACAATACCAAAGACATTATGCTCATACAATGGCTCATTGAAATCCGTCCCCGCTGCAACAACTGCATGAGCATTAATCATGGCTGTCAACAAAAGACTTCTTAGTCATCACACTTAGATATATATTTCACATTTATTTAAAAAAATTGACTACTCTTTTCATCTTCATTGATTGCCTGGTACCTGAGCCTTAAGAATAATTTGAGTAATGGAGCGACATCTCTAACATTATACCTTTGTGCTGCTGTGTGGTTTTACTAAAAATCATTGTAATTTAATTAAACATTCATGGTAGTTTTCTTCTTGTATTTAATGACCAGTTCAAAACTTTGTTTTTTTTTCTCAGTGAACACCTAACGACAATCATGTAAGCAATAACTGGTGACTGAACCTAATGCATTAGTACGAATTTTCGAGTTTTTGATTGGCTTTCAATGTTTTATGTTGAGAGCTTTAAAAAGATGATTTGCTATGGATATCTTTTGACAAAAATTGGGTGCTGAGAACTCTGTGAAACGAATTTTGATATTGTTTTTGATACTTTTTCTTTTCTTTGTTGAACTTCATTTATTCAGGACATTGATGAGACATTAAAGTCACTTTATTGTGATTAACCGAATCTGCCTCTTTTGCCTTCAAGTCTTATGATTTTTGTTCCGCGAAGGATAACTGACGGTGTTGTGAATGTAATACAGTGATTTTGTGTTAGATGATACACTGTCACCCGAGCGATATTTGCTAGAAAAGGTCGACCGTAAGCGGGAGGTATTCAAGGCATACATTGCGAGAGGGTAGCGGTGTATTATTTGACATACATAAATACATACATACTGAGAAAAGTACTCGTATTTCACCGAGAAAAACTGAAACTGATTAAAACGTATACTGTCACATAACATCTCTAGGTATGTAGGGGCTTAATGCACGCGCGTACAGTATAATGGATCAAAATGTTCATTTTTTTCTAACGCGAAATATAGTGTCCCTGAACTTGAAAGGTGCTTTGTGCCTTTGCGGGATTTGGGAACGTACCGTGGTATATATTGGTTTTGATGTAGTCGAAAAAAGGACGACAAAATTTGGCTTCCAGCGTTACTACTACTACAGAGGCGTTTTTACGGTATCTTTTTATTGCAAACCTCGATGGATTCTTGTATATTCTGAAAATTTTACCATGACTGTTTGAGTCCGATGCTGACTGGCCTGACAACTGCCTGCCTTACGAAGACGACATTATTCACTGGAGCCCGATGCACCACCCTCTACCAGGGCAGCAGTTATTATTATTATGTAGAGTTTGTCTCTATGAGGCGACACAGTATAGACAATAGCCGTGAATTTAACCAGAGACATATATGAGAATATCTAGTGTAAAATCAATCTGTGGCCCTAGGATACCGATGCACTACAAAAATAAAATGACAAATGAAAACAATAAAATGTGACGAATGGCAATATGATATTTCTAAATTAAAAATTTTAAAAGGAAATTTAAATCAAAATTTGTGATTGATGTCTGACTTCGACATATGTGTAAAACCAGNGAAAATTCTTGTTGATTGCATTTTTACAGCTTGTCAAGCATAAGACTGGTGGCTGTGTCCCTTCTTTTGTGTATGTGGGGGTCTATACGAATGCACTTGCTCCAGCTGGTGGTACAATATTCGGAGGCGGTATCGCCTCTCTGATCCTCTAGTTGTTATTATAATGGTATTTGTTATTTCAGTATTCCTCCCTTGCCAATGTGGTGATAGCTAGAGGAGATACCCATGGTACTTTCCCAGATTATATGAAGCAAATAGAAGATAAAGTGAAGTCCACATACAATTGTGTCTCATGGAATCCATACCCTGTGGATTTCTGGACAGGTAAAATAACAGATTATTTTCCGATGAAAGAATACTTGAGACTGAATGTGCATGTCTGAATTTGGATAATATGGATTCTCATATTATGGGGTTATCAGATTTCTCTTGTCTTAGTAGTCTTATTGGGCTCTCTACTTATATTGGATAAAACATGGCACTACACAGGTTTCGTTTGCTATATTGTTCGAAAGCAAGGAAGTGTAGCAGAAAACCTCTATATATATGGTGTAGTAGAGCTAGTTCCATTGAGTGCCTTGAATAGCTACATTTATAATTAATTGGCAGTAATTATGTACATATTTTCTGTTGAAAATTAGTATTGATAGTTATGACAAGAACAACTGTAACCTGGTGGTATATCTGTATTGTGGTGTTAAATATGTCCTCATTTTACCAGGAACTTTTTCTCCATCTCTTCAGGTAAATTTAACCCAGCTGGAGGTAAAGATGCATCTAGTGTCACCATGGCAGCAAACTATACTAATTTTCTGTCTCCAGTAGAGTACATGGTGTCTCAGTCTAAGCTAATGTATAATGCAGGGGCTTATCTACACTGGTATTGGAAGTATGGTTGCTCTAGGGTAAGCTTGTCTGTCTGTTTGTCTGTCTGTGTCTGCGTGTCTGTCAGTTTTTTTTATGTAGAGATTCATGTCTATTCAATACATTTTTGAGATTTTTTTTTTCTTTTGAGCTGTTAGTTAGATTCGTGTCTATTCAATACACTTTTGAGATTATGTACAGCCGATAGTCTAGAATATTGTAGTGAAACCAACTCACTTTTGTTTCCAAGCTTTTATGTTCACAAAAGTGAATTGAGTAATTCTTTATCTGTTCAGTAAGCACTTAAGCTTCTAAGGCTGTTATCTGACAATATAATCCATATATTTTTGTGCCTAAAATGTAAATATGCCTAAATCCTGTCAATGAATATTTTTTTATTTTTTAGGATGATTTTGATCAAGCTTTTGAATCAGTTTCTGACATTGTCACAAACTATAAGGAGGCAGTAAGGTGAAGAACATAACTGCAGTACAATACCAGAGACATTATGCTCATACAATGGCTCTTTGACATCCATCCCCGCTGCAACAACTGCATGAGCATTAATCATGGCTGTCAACACAGTCATCACACTCAGATGAATATTTCACTTTTATTAAAAAAAGTGAATACACTTTTCATCTTCATTGATTGTCTAGCGCCTGAGCCTTAAGAATAATTTAAGTAATGGAGCGACATCTCTAACATTATACATTTGTGCTTCTGTATGGCTTTACTAAAAATCATTGTAATTTAATTAAACATTCATGGTAGTTTTCTTCTTGTATTTAATGACCAGTTCAAAAGTTTCAGTTTTTTTTCTCAGTGAACACCTAACGACAATCATGTAGGCAATAACTGGTGACTGAACCTAATGCATTAGTACGAATTTTCGAGTTTTTGATTGGCTTTCAATGTTTTATGTTGAGAGCTTTAAAAAGATGATTTGTTATGGATATCTTTTGACAAAAATTGGGTGCTGAGAACTCTGTGAAACGAATTTTGATATTGTTTTTGATACTTTTTCTTTTCTTTGTTGAACTTCATTTATTCAGGACATTGATGAGACATTAAAGTCACTTTATTGTGATTAACCGAATCTGCCTCTTTTGCCTTCAAGTCTTATGATTTTTGTTCCGCGAAGGATAACTGACGGTGTTGTGAATGTAATACAGTGATTTTGTGTTAGATGATACACTGTCACCCGAGCGATATTTGCTAGAAAAGGTCGACCGTAAGCGGGAGGTATTCAAGGCATACATCGCGAGAGGGTAGCGGTGTATTATTTGACATACATAAATACATACATACTGAGAAAAGTACTCGTATTTCACCGAAAAAAACTGAAACTGATTAAAACGTATACTGTCACATAACATCTCTAGGTATGTAGGGGCTCAATGCACGCGCGTACAGTATAATGGATCAAAATGTTCATTTTTTTCTAACGCGAAATATAGTGTCCCTGAACTTGAAAGGTGCTTTGTGCCTTTGCGGGATTTGGGAACGTACCGTGGTATATATTGGTTTTGCTGTAGTCGAAAAAAGGACGACAAAATTTGGCTTCCAGCGTTACTACTACTACAGAAGCGTTTTTACGGTATCTTTTTATTGCAAACCTTGATGGATTCTTGTATATTTTGAAAATTTTACCACGACTGTTCCAGTCCGATGCTGACTGTCCTGACAACTGCCTGCCTTACGAAGACGACATTATTCACTGGAGCCCGATGCACCACCCGATACCAGGGCAGCAGTTATTATTATGTGGAGTTTGTCTCTATGAGGCGACACAGTATAGACAATAGCCGTGAATTTAACCAGAGACATATATGAAAATATTTAGTGTAAAATCAATCTGTGGCCCTAGGATACCGATGCACTACAAAAATAAAATGACAAATGAAAACAATAAAATGTGACGAATGGCAATATGATATTTCTAAATTAAAAATTTTAAAAGGAAATTTAAATCAAAATTTGTGATTGATGTCTTACTTCGACATATGTGTAAAACAAGAACGCCGTTGTTCTTGGTCATTCGAACGATCTTGTCGTAAAGCTATAAATACTAACAATTTTTTTTTCTAGCAAAATAGTAAAATGGTTTCGATACGGATATTGGTGATAGCGTTCGGACCGGATGAAATGTACATATTGATAGAGAAAATGTTTTTGGGGAAAAGGTTACAGAGTCAATTAAAAAAAGGTGAAGCGGACATAGAATATCAAAGGAAAAATGTGAAACGCGCGTTAAAAATCCTCTATGATTGATCAAAAGTTCGCCCTCTCTGTCTTTATGTTCTTAATTAATGTCAAGCAAATGTCAACACACGAACATGTTTATAGACTGAGTTATGCATCAATGTTATTCTAACCGCAGCTATCAGGTATTGAAACAATTACAAGTTAATTAATAACCGCAGTAGCACAATACAGCCATGAATAAGCACAGTAAAGGTTGAATAATATGGAGTGTGGTTTGCGGAAACAACCAATAGTCGATATAAGCTCAGCTCAAGAAATATATCTTAAAAACAGGGCGACCGGGAAGAGAGAATCCAGTTTTATTAAAATACCAGTTGGATGTATGAGACAAAAGCTGTGGGATTTTTACTTAAAAGACCCCAGTGGTACAGGGAGTGGTCTAAAGATTTGACTGCGAAGTTGCTGAGCCGTCCCGCTGACGCAGACCTTTTTACAATGCAGTCGGTGTGATTATTCAAAGTAAATGTAGGCTGCAGATGTTGACACACGGTGACAGATTTAAATAGACATTGTGACACACGGTTGTGGTTTTATTTTCAACGGATTTTTGCCTCCTGATATCGTCACTGAGCTCACCTGTGAAAACTGCGGACTGATCTGTCCTGATCTTTATTACAAGAATGTGTATAGGTATTTGACGTCCTGTCGCGAGGTAGGCGGTCTAGTGGACGTGCATGTATTACGATCTGAAGTTCGATTAGTCATCGATATATCAGGATATAATACACACATGACCTGCTGTGATTCCATTACTCGAGTTATGTGTCGTTTGCCACTTCAGGATAATGTAGTGACCGGGTCTGTCACACTATGACACCTCGGTTGACACCTTGGGCTATATCTGGCATACAAATACAGCTTGGATTTTTCTGTAGGGTTATAATACTATACGTGCTAGCTGGATTTGCGTCAGAATTTGTCGGAGGACAGGAAGGCGGGACATTGTGCTCTCCCACCTGTCCCCCTGAACTATGCAGTCGGCAAGACAGCACTGCCGTATTTGTCTGTATGGCGAAGAGGAAAGTAAGTACAAATTAAAATGAGCAGTTCTACGTGTTTGAGAAAAATGTAGGTTTTCCATTTGTTGAGTCAATTTCAAGTTCCTACGTAGAAGAATAAAAAACTGATAACGGCTAGACACACCTAGTTTATGTTTACACTTAAGTTTATATCTACGTCCGTAATAACTGGTATTACAGGTGTTGGGAGCTTCAGGGCGTACGAATCAGGGCAGATCATCCTTTTGTATTTGTTTACATGCCTATCATTCGACCAACAACGGTATTCGAGAGGAAACCACGCGAAATAAAACTGGCAGAATATAAGTCTTATTAAGTGAGAATTGTCTGTGTTTAACTATTAAATCCGAATTAATGTTGAAACGAGCTGCATACTTTACATTGAATTAGTGATTAGTGCATACCGGGCACTCAATTAGCACCATACTATGCATTATGCAGCTATTTTCCTGTTGCTAGGCGCAGTGGGCTTTTTATATGGGCATTTACAGAATAACGAAGGTGTTCAATGTAAAACACCCTACTTTCAGCAAGGTGTTCAACTATTTACGACGCGCAGTAGTTTTTTTTTTTTTTTTTTTTTTTAGTATGAAAGAATATTGCTGCGATCCAGGTTAGCCTGAAGATTTTATTTCAAACTTTCATATTGAGGTTTAGCACGTATTGTGTAGAACAGAGAAAAACACATTCAAAATGAAGCAGGTGTTGTCCTTAAATGCTTTGACTGTCACATATGTTCATCACTCTAGAAATAGGATAAGTTCACCCAGCAATTTGTATCAATCCTTACATTAATATTGTGTTTAGGGCATAAAATGCCTGAACGCGCACTTCAGGAGTGTTTCTTTTTAGACCGCTTGTTTTAAAATAAAATAAAAACCTCTGGGTGGTGATCTTTAACATTGTTATTAATGCGATAAGATACTTTTACATTGTAAAGCAAATAGGGATTTGTTCATTGCAAATATTCACATTTTAGATAATGAATTTCACTTTCCCCTAACTCGCTTACCTAATAAATCTGTGCATGGGTGTGTGTTTTGTATACAGGTTAAGTACGCGAAATATATTGATTTGTAACAGTGCAACATAAAATGAAGATCACCCGACACACCTAGGCCGCAATAATTATTGCGTTGGATGTCTTGAATAATGATGTGTCATCTGCTTTTTTTTCCATTCAAGCTACGGCCTAGATACCAGCCCAAGAGACAAGACATTTTGCATAATAACCTTCATGGGAGAGCAGTGTCACAAAGAAAGTTCATGACATTACATGACGTGCTAGCAAGTGCACTTCATGTGAATCAAAACTACAAAACAAGAGAGAAAACAACGGACAACGCAAAACTGCACAGTGATAGAGATTCAGATTATAATAATGCTCTTGCTTTCAGAACAGAGGCATCTGAGAGTAGTAGTAAAAAGCACGCCAATAAAAAACGTCCAAGTAATGTGCCGAGTATTGCAGTACTGAAGCATCGAATATATCGTCGAAGTGATACGTATAACGAAGAATCGTCAAATGAGCGACCGGGAAAAGACGGAAACCTTGACGAGGACCCTATGGCCAGAACAGGAGAAACCCAGTACTTAATTAACAATGTTGTGGACCACGAAGACTGGACAATAATTGCCATTATTATTTGCGTTGTAGTTGTGATATTTGGTGTAAGTTTTTCGTGTGCGCTTATCTGTGCCTATATGCAAAATAAACATAATGATAAGTTTATCGTGACGAAGGAAAGAAATGGCGTCGATGCGATTGCTGAGTTTTACCACGAATCATACGTTTAATTTTTTAAATTCTTATTTATTTTACTTATTTATTTATTATTGTATTTATTCATTCATTTATTTATTTGCAATACGGGAAGTTTCTAGTCAGGTTGAACAGGTATGACCAGAAAGTTTTTTTAAATTTATAAGAGAAATATCTTATTGCTTGTAGATAATATACCTGTAGCTCTGACACTTCATCGATTAACTTGCCCGTGGTCTCGAAACCACCGACTTTTGTGTATTTAATCAAAGTTTGTCAATTATCAATTGCTGATTGTTTCCGATTTCCTATTCATAAAAATAATAAAAGTTATTTTTAACATTATTTTGAAACATGGTATTATTTTTTGTTTGTTTGTTTGTTTTTTTCTACATCTGTTATGTTTGAAGATGTAACATATGTGTTTTGATGTCATTTTTTACATCTTCATTCAAACTTTATGCTAAACATCATGTGGAAGTGGTGTTCAGGTCTGACTAGTGTTCAGTATTATTTAAGTGAACCATCCGCACATACTACCGTTACACAACAGCATATGTTTATAGATGTGCTTCGAAAGTAATCGTGTTGCGAGACGCATTTTTGAGAACATCTAGCACAATCTGTGTGAAAGGCGCCTCTTAATTCTGCTATAAAACCCATATGTTCGAGTTACTGAACACATGCCACAACAATACTGACTATGTAAGCTAACATATGTAGGTGTTGACATGCGAAAACGACAGGAGAGTTTCCATACTCTACAATTACCATGAGAGTAAAAAACAGGATTAAAGAAGGCCTACCTCAAGCAATTTGTCTCTAGGAAGTAGCAGTGCCAGAGAAAATTAACGTTAAGCTGTCATTTATAGATTGCCAGAAAAGTAGGAATGTTTGGCACCGTTGATGGTTTCAACAACAACTAAGTAATTGGTTTACTAAGATAAGCAGACGGCTCATTTATGCTTAACTGCATATATACGAGGTTTTTTGTCTATCTTATACAGGTGTGATAAATCAGTTCCAATTATATAGCATGGGGCAACATTTGATAAGCCTGGTTGTCAAAGTTAACGGTTTGTTGATACATGTATTTAATCTTTTTCCACAGCGACCATTGTGAAAGCTACAGTGCTTTGAAGTTCAAAATTACCCACGCCTAAATGTTTATACTGAGTTTGTACAACAGTCGTATGTACCAGGATCTGCCTTCAATTGAACGGCTCATTTTATATACCTTCCCATCGGTACCTGAGGAATGAATCGAACTCTCAGGTAAATTGCAAGGCATTAAAAAGAATAAGTGCAAAAGAAAGAATGATTGTTATAACAATCTGTCCATTGGAGTAGCAAAACATTTTTTCCAAGAATGGGAATTTTGAAAAAAGTATCGTGAAAGTAGGTGGCAGTGAACGAGGTCTGTGAGATGGCACACGCTAAAAACAGTTTTTTTTTTTTTTTTTTTTTTTTTTTTTTTTTTTTGTTAAATTACTACAAGTTCCTTCAGCATTATTTATAACTGGCAACTAAGCGGGTTCTAGGTCAAACTTATTGGAAAACAAGTTACAATTGAAATTAATGCATTTTAACGTTTTTAACAGGTTGTTTTTGAACTCAATGTTTATCGACGTCATTTATCACGTATATGTGCTAACTTAAGCATTACTGAACACGTAAATCAATCTACACCCGATATTTCAGAGTAAGTGAAAATAGTCATCCATAGGTCGTCCGAAAATAAAGGTTTTGTTTAACCACCAAACTCCCAGGGTGTTATCGAAAATTATGAACCAATTGAATTCTTAATTGTCTTTTCAAAATCTAAATTCATGTCCATGGAATCTTTTCAAAAAGCGATTAATGTAGGCATATGTTAATTTTCGTCTGCAATGTTGGAAGCAAACACAGCGGGCCTCGTCTGGAAATAAGCAGTTTATGCTTTACTCATTTGCGATCCAAATTGTGATCTGTTTCGAATTCTACTAGTACAAACATTCTTAGAGCCAGTGTTGACGTGATCCACTTTCAGATATCTTATATCATAATAGGTAAAGGAGATATTTCATTTATTAAACATAGCGATTTTGCTGTTGATTACCATTATCTGAATTTGTAGTGCATTCTTGAAAAATTCGAGAGCAATCATGAAGACTCATATTGGCGACGATGAAATAGTTTGACAAGAAAACGTCTTTGAATATGGTGAGGAATCAATGGAGAAGATGAGGTGCACACTTTTCTGATTATTATAAACGGAAGGAGCGAAATATAATGTGATAAAAATCCGTCCCAATAATTAATTATCGCCATACATTATACGCATGCTTGTCGATAAAACCAATAAAAAAGATTGTATCTTAGTCAAAGCAACCAACAATAGAATGTGGCCCGATTCATGTGCTGATTGTTGGTTCTTCCAAACTGCAGTTACTAATTTGAAGGTAAAATGAGTTAAAATGTTGCAACAGCTTGTTCCTTTGGTAAAGTCCTTCGATCGGATCACCATGCTTAGACAAGGTCTCATTGGCAAATTGAATTTGGTAGATTTTACTGCTCTAATCTGTAAATGAGTTGACACATGCCACGGCTCCCTTCTTATTGTAATTCTGTATACAAGCCACCAATGTAGTTGGTTGAAGTTGACAAATAAGTACACAGTAAGTTTATATGTCATTCGTCCCTCGGGTAGAGGGTGTCTGACAGGTGTCCCACAGGTAGGCCTACAAGGTTACGAAATCCGCCTAGTTTGACCAAGCTGTGCATTTTCAGACGTTTTTGCTGCATGTCTTAATACAACTTTAAATAATATCCCTAAAATATCGAGAACCTGTGTTGGAGTTCATGCTGACAGCTTGCTTCTCAACTGAGGAGGCACCGGCGGGCAAGGACGAATGATCTGAGAGCGTTTCCAACAAAAATGTTTGTATGTAATTAGAAAAAGATTGGCCGATTTTGATACCTGCTAGGTAAGTCGGATGTCCGGTATCAGAATGCGCGTCTTACGAAACTATGGAATGTTGTTTATAAAAAAAGTCAAGTATTTTCGGAAGACCTAAAGGTCTGTTACTACGTTATGCCAGTGTAACCGCAAGCCCCTTACTTTCTTCGTCGGTGGTAGTAGCCTTATTGCCTAGATCGAGTTGTATACACATTCGCCGCTGGCAGTCTGCCGCAGTAAACTACACGGTTTTGTAACAAACGGGTACTTATGAAAAAAAGGCGTTCTGTTATAAAAAAATGTAACGTTCACCTTTACAGATACCCACTAAACGAAATCGTGTTTGTGTTCAAAATAAACAGGCATCCGCAATTGCACGAAGGGAGTTTTTGTACTTGATTTTTATATTTGAAAGCTATTAAAAAAAGAAATAATCTTGGGGTAATGTTGACGGACATTTTACCTTTACAAGCCAAATGTGTGAGGTTTAGGTTTTCCTTTATTGGGTCTTTCTTCTCTAACCTTCCAGAATACAACCGGTTTTACGACGTTCTTTTCAAAAATAGTACCTATTTGCATCTTTTTTCATATCGATTTTGTTTTTGTATCCTAGAAAGAAACCGTGAGAAATTGATAAATATGTCGACAACAGACCACTCACATAATTAAATGCGCATTATTTAGTAGAATCTTGCGAACACCTTTCAGGATTGTGAATTGTCTGGGCCTACTATCAAGTGCGTCTACGGTAAATTTACCCACCAGCTATTGCCTTTTGCTGTTCGGAGTTTATTTAACTCTTTCCAACACAATCCTAACCCTGGAGAACAGCTAATGAAGTGTTAGGAAAATATGCAGGTGATGTAAACTTGTTTCCAATTAAGAAATTCCCGAAAATGGCAAACGGCATACATTTCCCCCATATGAATAGATTCATCTTTTCAGACTTAGAGAAATGCGTACATGGAAGGATGCCACTAGGTTGATTACCAAGTCGCACATCAGTGAAAAGTAAACGAATCTTTATGGTGAATGGAGTGAGAAAGATAATTGGTTGGATCAGGTTCTAAAACTGCATGTCACATCCATTCACAGTTCAATATTAATTCAAACGCTTGGGTTAAGGGTAAACCAGTTGGAAGAAATACCCTTGGCCACAGAGGAGTCCACGTAGAAATGATACAATGGATGATGGGTGGGGTGTTCGGAGGAAAGCAGTCTCTTATCATTTATTGAATTACTTTCCCCCTAACATTCCAGACAGGTCGGTTTGTTTTGATAGATTTCCCAGAAAGTGGATTAAGTTCATACGAATTTTGTTTTTGATTTACCAAATATCGCAGTGAGCGCTAGCTAAGGATTGATAACATTTTGCATGAGGTACTAGATTACATTCTTTGTTGAAAAAAAGGGTCATCATTTTTTTCCTAGAAGAGGTTGTGATCTGGTATGACTACGGAAACCCGGTGAAGTGCACAGATTTATAAATCACTTCACCCTGTAATGTGAGGAGACTCTATGATAACATAACCAGCCTATTTCAACTCATGTGTTGCTAATAATATTCATAATTGAATAAGCTGGTGAGGTAGACAAAAAAACACACACTTCGCTGAGACATATTCTGACTTCGAAGACCTCACCTTGATCTCGTTTTACACGTTTCTTGAATCTGAAAAAAAGCAACTGTGTCCACAGAAGGTGGCTCGATCATTGCGTGTATTCACTATTGTAAATGTTTGAGGTTTAAGCTAGACAACATAAACGAGCGGAAGAAAGAGGAAAAGCTGGCCGAAACTGAAATATGAAATAAATGTTTTCATCCGTCTTTCTGTGAATGATAACTTAAAAAAAAACAGTTCGACCCGTTCGTTTCAACAACGTCGAATATAAAACGAAATGGCTCATCTGAAAATGTTTTGGTTTTCATGGGTTTCAAACACCACATATTTTTTATCAAGACACAGATTATTCAGCCTTTAAGATACATGTATGGGCAAGCTCTGCACTGTTTAGGTTCGCGTGCAACTTTCACGTGGCGAAATGATAACAATCTGAGACAGGTACATTTACTAAATAAGTCTGATGTTTATTCTATCAACCGTTTTAACGTTTAGGAGGCTTCGTGTGGCGTATAAACTTAATTACATGACTAAGGGAACGTTAGCCTGACATTTCATGTCGCGGAATCACGGTGATTTTCTAATGAAACAACTGGTGTATTTTCAATATTTGATTTTTTTTTCAAAACAAATAATGGGTGATCAAGATTTAACAGGGCCGACGGACCCTTCTGCAAAGTGCGAAGATACCTGAGTTTGTTGCCAGTCATTATTAGAAAAAGGTTAACTTGATTATTTTGGTATCTTTCCATGACGTCCAAGACATCAACAGAACACTTCCAGTGTTAATTACTTTCCCCCCTCCCCTATATATAGAGAGGTAAATGTCATTATAATTGGTACGGTCTTCCTTATTCCATCCCTGCCTCTCTCTGTATCCATTTCATTTTCACGTTTCAGGTTGCTCACCTGTATAGGTGCAACGCGCTGTCAAGTCGAAGCCAAGACAACCGAAGCGACATTTCAACTATAACTTTTCAAGTCAAAGTTTCTAGACAACGTACCAACTGGGACTTTGTTAAACACACACAAAAAATGTAGACAGGAAATATCTGATATAGAAGCTAATATCCCAATGGCTCCGAAGAAAAATAAATTCATCTTTGAAATGTTATACAATGCAGAATTAAAACCAAACGGTCCAGGTCAAGTTTGGTCAATCATTGATTTAAGCTTTAATTTTATCGGTTAGCCAATAGGAATTCACCCTGGTGGTGCGCCTCACCCTCCCTCTATAAAAAGCATTCATCTTCAATCAGGCCTCGGAGAAGGCTATGCAGCTGTGCCCTTACGCCGGTTAAGGACCAGGAGCAAGCAATGAGAGCCTCTGTACACGTGGTGTTTTACTCATGTCTCGTTCATATTGTCCTTCAAACGCACGCCACGGACATCGGCGCTCAGGTGAGTAGTAAGCCATTGGCACCCCATGTCAATGTGCGGTGCTTACGGGTAAACATCACTCTGTGCCATTGCCAAGACAATGCTTTATTCACTTGTAAACGCAATATTCCTACAAGAAGTAACCAGAGACGGGGTTTACTGTGCTGATTTATTGCTTCATTTCCTCAAAGTAAGACCAGATGCAACGAAATGGTTACTCAGGTGGCTCGGATTTTGTTCATAACCCGCAGCCTATTCCCACAGACAAAGTATCATGTAAGGCACTAGAGCTGGCAAAGCCGGAATTCTGCGGTTCTTTATCAAATGCGCGCATAGTAAATACCAGGTTAAGTTAAGTCGGTACACGGAAAGAACCTCGCAGAAGAAAGCAGTAAAAATTGTTCGCCCACTTAAAATCGTTACAGTTGTGCACGGTGCGCTGCGTGGACGTCGGTAGTCGGCTCCCTATCAAATAATGGGCAGTAAATCAACCTTGGCAAGGCAAAATGGCGAAAATGCCGGAAGAAAGGCTAGCGATTACCCGATAACCTCTACAAAAGGCAAAAAATCTTCATTTCCATTTTAATTTGAAGAGCTTAGATATTGTAAGAGTAGGACAAGGCCGACATGCGAAAACTGAGAGGAGAAATGAGTGACTCTTCGATAACCCTTTTCAGAGACACTTCCCCATTTCCAGCCAAGAGGCGATTTATGCGAAAAAACTAAAAAAAAAGTCTGGATACGACAAAATAGAGGGTCAATTGTTTTGTTGAAAGCACATGTCGTGTTAAAGTCAAACTTTCTCTTTTTGATTTTTCTGACATCTTCGAAATAGTTGGCAATTGCTGAGAACTTTGGAGATGTCGGACCCGCGTATGACAAACTAGCTGTATTTAGTTGGCCATTGACATAGTTTACCCGAGAGGCAGACACATGTTCGGCTATTTGTCTTTTTAGATTACAAAACACAAGTTTTGACGAATAAACGGCGCTTAAGTACCATTTCTTCTATACGCCATCACGTGCATTTCAAATACCCCTGCCCAGTACAATTAATTCCACGGTTTTCAGCATGCTTACTATTTCCTATTTAATCGACGCGAGTGTTTCTGACTTAAAAAGCACATTATATAAATAGAGACTCACGTATGGCTTGTCCTAAAACGTGTCTTAAACGTATTCACCGTCTGCTTTTAATATGCCGTTCTTTTCTACCCTCTCCACACCATATTTACAAACTGATCAAAACTGAAATTATTTGCCCGGGATCGTTTGATTATTTTGTTTGCGCTGAAGACATATTCAGGCCGAAAAAAGTAATAGACTGATATCTGGTCATTTTACGCAATGTCAGATGGGCCAAAGATGGATTACGACCATAATTCAAAGAAAGAACACAAAAAGAATACATTGATAAGAAATTAAGGAAAATTAAATATGTAGGATCATCATAAACGGTTCTAACAGGTGTGGTGAACTGTTTACGTACGTGTCCATATTTTTATCTGCTGTAGTAGAAGTTACACCTGAGCCGTTAGGGGAGCAAGATCTAATCAGACGGTTGGCTGATTTGAACCGGTTCTGATATCCGAATCGTATCGGTATTCATGCTGAACTTACATAGTTCATGAATTCTTGATTGAAAGCTACCGCTCAACCGAATAATTTTTTCCTAGCATCCAGACGATGTTTTCATAATCAAATAGGATTTAACAGCATTTCTCGGTCGGGAAGCAATTGGATTCAACAAACACAAATCGTTTGCAATCGACTTGAACAAATTGTTTGCAACTGAGCTTGGCTGGCTTTTTTTATTGTATTTTTTCTTTGGTCATTTGATCTCTTTCCATCCTTTCTTTAGGAGTTGCCGCAAGAGGATGGCAGGTATGAAGGAAAGTACAAATACACAGTACGCTCCCGAGACCGCCATGGCCGATGCATCTGCACGGTTATGGCCAAGCAAAAAGACTCATGCTCAGAGGAAGATAATTTCAACAAACTGAAAGAATTGGACGAAAAACTCAAAAGTGTAAATGTCACTTTACAACTATTGAAGATTAGAACGGAGGATATTCCTTTGAAAATCGCCAACCTCACCAAACGCTTCGACGTCATCGAGAAACAATTAGCTCGCCAGTCGCTGGAAATCACCTTATCAGACGCAGAATCGATTCGTAGTGACCTGAGCGAGCTCACAGACATGGTTGAAAAGATTGAGAAAGATGAATACTACTATTTCTATTTCTACAACAGAGATGGGAACTTTTTAGGGAACCTGGAGACTAAGCTGTTTAAAATTTCAAGCGAGCTGGACAGCGTGAGGATAAAAAACCCACTGGCGATAAATACGGACCTCACGGCAAGGGTTAGTCTACGCACTCTGATATCTTAAGTTTGTCAGTAATCCAGTTTATTTTACATCGTTTAATTGGACTTACAATGCCAACGTCTATTGAGACGACGTGTGGAGGACTCAACGACCTCATCTTTGTCATAGGCATTGGCATTGTAACTCCAATCACAAATTAAACAATGTGAGCTATGATTTGATACGCTGTTTAATGCAATTCACATGCTGTTTGCCAACACATGAACATGCCTAGTCCTAAGAAAACAGATGACAACAGGCATTTATTTTTTATTGGGTTTAGTCCCCATGAGAACTAAAGCTTTATGGCTAGGGTGGTCTTTCTTTCTGTTGATGAGGTTGTGGATGGTAAATGGTGAGATGCTGTTAGTGAGATAATGGAGGCGAAGGCACTGTATCTTTCTTTTCTTCTTTTTTTTTGAGGGGGCGGGGGGCACATTTTACAGCAACTCATATAGCTTTTGTTAAATGGCAGTAGATCTTATGATAGAGTGAAATAATCTGTAAAATTATGAAGTTCATACCAATTAAATTAACTTACACCCCTTCCAACCCAACCCTCTGTCCCTCCCTGCCGTATGATGATTGACTATTCCAAAGTTTTTTGTAAAGTTTCTTCGCGCATGAGTAACACAAGCTCATTATTTTCCTACTACGATCCCTGTAAGCAAGAACAGCACTACGCTCGTTCTTTCAAGTAATGAGTGGTTTGTGAGTCTATCCTGAAGAGCTCGCCCACGAAGAAGCGATCTTTTTGCAGACCCGAGTTTAAAAAAGACTTGTTCTACTGCAGAATTTCACGCACCAAAAGTGTTCATTACAGATTGTTTTAAACAAGTTGGAAATTGTTACAGGCTACCTTAAGGCAGGGTTAGAACAATGTCAGACGACAAGTGAATGCTCAGCCAAGACTTCTGTTATGAATTAGCGTTTCGTTAGAAATTGTGCGGATTGTGTACGTGCAGATTAGCCTTTGAAGAACGCATTATTTTAACCCAAAGAGTTACTGGTTTCTTTGTGTATTTTATTTTATTTTGTTTCCTTTGGCACCATAAGAATTGTTGTTCAGTTTGCTTTAATAGCGGCAACAATTAAATGTGGATCTGTAGTCAAAAAGGCAGGTTGTATCTCCCATGCAAAATAAGAGCCGCTGGAGTTGTAGTAAACTTTTTTCCTTACTTTTTTGTGTGTGATTATGATTGTGAAAATGAAGAAAAAGAAAAACACCGTCTGGGTGTCGAGATGAATTGCATGGGAAATATCATGGGAATGCTTTCCGTTGACAAAGCCTGCTCCCCCACAAAGAGGCGAGAACACAGAAGAACAAATCTAAAATTACCTGTAGAGTTTTGATTTTCTGGCCATGCTTATTGAATGCCTTAAGATAAGAACGCAAATTGTATTTTTATGGACAGACCACAAGACGGAGCAAGAATATATATATTCAAAATGAAGTTTAAACTAGGCAAAACTAGGCAAAAAATTTCCAAAACACAGTTAGATATGCGGGGGAGGGGGGGGGGGTCTTATCACAATGATATTAGATCTTGAATGTTGAAAATATTGATTGTGCAATGACATAGTTCCACCATTGGCAGTTCGGTTTGCTGTATATGTAAACAGGTGCTTTGGTGAATGGCGGCGAAAGGGTGGGTACAGATGAACCCTCAATGTCAACATGCCATCGAACTGAATGAGAAAATAACATAAAAAACACGGAAGGTCACTGCGAGGTCTAATAGTTATTGAGTCTGTGCTTAATAGAATCTCCCCTTGATCAGCACGAGTGCAGGGCACCGGTCATCTAGAAAGCTAGCCTCCTGCCCAACGACAAGTTTGACCATTCTTAATAAAAAGTGCATTACTAGTGAACCATTAAAACGGGTCATAAATACAACGATTTTGCTGCTAAAGTGTTACTATGGCTGCCATTTGTCAGCAAACATTCTGGTGGAGACAAAGTAGAGGAATTTGTGTGTCAGAAAAAAGGTCAGTGAATGAGTTTTGTCAAAGCTGTGTTTTTCATCAAGTTGTTATAATTGTGATCCAACGATTCACACAGGTGAAGTTCCCAGGGTTTGTATTATGAAACGAAGAAATTCGGTTTAGCTATGTCAATAGTCTAGGTTATTGGACGATGTTCATATGTCTCGTTCCATTGACTGCGCCGCGGAGAAAAGGTCGTTAAAACAGATGTCAAGAGACCGCATAGGCGTGAAATCAGTGAGTGTTCTTTGCAATAAATCCTTTTTATTTCATTAAATCCAGGTCCAAAGCCTACAAGGCCGGCTGGAAGTATGTCGGAGTTATTACGACCAAAAAGCGGGGTCATCACCTTTCCGAGGAGACGCGGTCGCCGTGGAGAAAATCGACAAGTGTAAGTAGTTTCGTTAAAGAAACTCAATTACGATCTCTTTAGGACCCTTGTTGGTAGGGTCAGTTCTGTAAACGTGTTTGAAGAACAGTATGTTACCTGTCAGTACGTTGCCAGGCGTTCTTCACGGGCCCACCCACCTCCCCGTTGAAACATTGAGTTTATAAAACACAAAGACTTTCAAGTGTTTTGTTATCATTTTTACCATCATTTGTTTTTACAACTAATGACTAACTGAGGGATGATCAGGAAATGAAAGGACGAGATATCATCAAACCTGCGCAACTTTAGAATTCAAGTGTCTGTAATTTAGTTCAGGGGTCATAAATTTGTTATGAAGAAAAGTTTTTTTTTAATCCTGCGAAAAGCGAGAGAAACTGATGAGAATATTAAAAATACTAGGGTGAACGCAACTTAACATTCTATTCAGAGAAAGCAGCGCGAATCATAATTTCAAGAATCTACAAAAGTGATCAAATCACAGCATATGCGTATTTCCAATGTTTTAGCAAGACGCCCTGCAGATGTTAGTTTGCGCAATTCAGAGGTCGGAATTTCCAAAAGAGATGAAGACTAAAGCGCCTGATCATAAACTTCCGACAAGCTTCTTACCTGAACTAATGAAGCAATTTATTCATGTTAAGCTGAATATCATTTTCTTTACCATTCTAGCTATTTGCAAAAAGCGCCGAGGTATAGCGTTAGACCAGCCCATAACCCACACGTGGATGGAAGGACTGAAGGCGGGGGCCTGGTTCAAGGATCCGCTCCCGCGCGATGACGCCTCCAAAAAGAGAGTGTTTTACATGGTGACGCAGTACCATACCCCCTCGCAGAAAGGAAACTACGTTTACGGCTACGAGAACTATACAGACTTCATTGGGGGCGAGCTCTCAAGGCAAGCTGTCTATCCCATCATTTTCTTTTCGGGTACTGGGTCGGTTGTGTATAATGGGTCTTTATATTACGCAGATTATGACACTTCCTTGAAAAGGTACGACCTGTCCCGGGGGACTGTCGTCGCTCGCAATCACATCCGCCACTCCTCACTTTACCTGTACAACAGAGGAGGGCGCACGTACATAGACCTCAACGTAGACGAAAAAGGGATGTGGGCGGTGTATACCACCGACAAAGACAACGGCTACCTCATCATCAGCAAACTAGACCCCGATAACTTGTCAATCCTCAAAACGTGGCGCACAAATCGCCTGAAAACCACTGTCAGCAACGTTTTCTTTGTCTGCGGTGTCATGTACACCATGGATTCTTACCAATTCCGGCTGCCAGGGGAGAAGCAGTACGTGTTTGACACTGAAACAGGCAAGGAGTATTACCAGAAGATTGCAGTGCCTAGCAAATACGGCGCCATTTACCAGTTAAGTTACAATCCCAGAGAAAGAATGATTTTTGCCTGGGACAACGGGCACCTGCTTACCTACCCACTGCAGTTTTTACCCGACTTCTCCTAAATAGTCCCTTTTAATGTTTTTTTCAGGATCAAACTCGGTATGCTGTAAAACGATATGAAATCGAACAATCGAAAAGACAATGATATCTTAAATATGAGTAAAATATATATACATAAACACTAAGCCGAAAATGCCTTTTGAGGTTGTTCCAAATATCACTTGCAGCATATAGAAGTTTCGTGACTGGTTACACATGCTCCGATTATTCAGTGTTTTAAGCAGTGTAAAGGAAAAGGCCACTGTACATGTCTGCAGCAGGGCGCTGGTCTTACGAGGATGTCATATTGTTCTGCAGGCCTACCAGCAAATCATGGCCGTATATGGCGTTACTTTGAACTACCATTTTACATCAGAACTGTTTGTAATAAAGACCACATCACGTGTAAATATATGATAAATTCATAGTAATGTAAACAGCCTATCCCCGAGGTCCTGCAACTGGAATGGTAATGGAGTGTGTTTGGTGAGATGCATGAGGCAATATTTAAATGTGATCGGGGATATGTTTTTTTTTTTCTTATTTATCAGCTCCCCACCAGTCTTGTTATAGGTTTAAATAGGCTGTGTGTGTGTGTGAGCAATTTATAAAATGTATAAATAGCTTGAGTTCACAACGAGACTTTAACAGACTATTTGCCAAAATAATCAGGGACCTTTAAAACAGGCAAAGTATGGACGTTATTTATAATTATATGCGTTTTACATGTTTAAATTAAGATTTTATATAATATTTGTTGATATATTTACATCGTTTTGCAAATCTGCATATTTAAAGCAGTGTAGATGTCTGTATAAACACTTCACTTTATCATTCACGTTTATACTGTTTTGGCTTATTGGATAAGTACAGAATTTTTTGCCGTAATTTGGAACTTACTGAAAATGTATGAGCACAATTAACGAATAAAAACACACATGGATAGGTTGTTGTAAGTTATTTTAATCAAATTTCCTTGGGGTTCTCATCCATTTCCTGGTGGTAATATGCCATCCCTCTTTCTAGTTCTAAGCTCAAAACTAGAAAAGTACTCAGATCTCTGCCACGGCTGTTCAGTTCCTCTCGTGATTATAAATCAAATAATGGATCGCCACAAAAATATAATCAATTTTAAGTAAACCCACCTCCTAACTATCCTGAACATTTTATCAAAATCCATCCATAGCTATTCACTTAAAGATGCCCAGCGTAAGTACAAAATCACTTTTGAGTTAAAACTAATTTTCATGAGGCAAAGGGTAGGCCCTATTTTTCTTCAACTCATTAGTCTCATGATCCTCCTTTCCTGTAAACATTAGTTTTTAACCCAAAATAAGCGTTATCTCCGACTACAGGGTGCGCTAGTAGTCTGTTACAAAATTATTATATCGTTCATACTTAAATATTGTATACTCTACTAGAAGTATCTGATATCAGAGGGTACACTAAGCGTGGGTTTTTTTCAAATTCTCTTCGAGCACGAACTTTCAAGTTGCGCGCAATTCAAAACTGTCTGATGGAACACAGATAGCGATCGGGAGCATCAGGAGGAAATAGATTAGTTTTTGGTGACATAAGCACATGGTATTGACCTGTTAAAATGGTCAAAATTATTTCCATGGGTAATAAGTGTAACAAGTGATTTATGTACTTTTCAGTAAAAAAAAACGTGGCTAAAATATTACGCTTTGTCACTTTAAGCGATTACCTAAAAAACCAACAAATACAAAAATTTTGACGGAGGTAAATATATTTCCTTGACTTCAGGATAATGAACAATCACAGAGTCGCATGCACAATCCCTTGAACGAAGTTTTGAGCAGTTTTGAAAATGGTATTACTTTAAAAAGATGCAATGTGCCTTGGGGCAGTAGTGCTTAAAAAACCGAAAAATTCAAGACGATGAACATCCCACATCCTGACCATTGAAACAAATGTCAATTGACAATACACTACTGTTTAAATGATTTTATTTGAATATCAGAATGATTTTTATCTCCCAGTAACAATTCCAACCATTTAATTTAAAACCAGCTATAATCCTTTATACTGTACAAATGCATATTTAAAAATCGCTTACAAAAAAAAAACTTCACATCACCCCTTCACCTTAAACAAGCTGACTGTTGTAATTACATGTGACATCCAGAACCCACTTTCAGGGGGTTGCATTCACAAATCGCACAATTTTAAATCCAACACGGTGTCCAAGTAACATATCTGGGGACGAGAGAGGAACAGACCAACAAGGGAGCCAAATCATGCAATATATATATATATATATATATATATATATATATGCCTTCCTATTCATAGTTAAACATCAAAATTCAAAGAGTGCAGTATACCCTGTACTGCAGGAATTGTTATAGTGGCGAGTCCATCTATACTAATACCCATGGCCATGTATTATGAATATGACTGCAGGTCAGAATGCCTTGCCATGAGATGTGCAAAATACATGGATTAACAGCTTGAATACAATGTATGAGTTATGCTTAAAAAAGTACATTCCGTAGTCGATGCCAAGACCACTTTGTGTTGAGCAGTTTTGAAAATGGTATTACTTTAAAAAGATGCAATGTGCCTTGGGGCAGTAGTGCTTAAAAAACCGAAAAATTCAAGACGATGAACATCCCACATCCTGACCATTGAAACAATGAGAACCTGGCGTTTTTTTTGTTTTTTTTTTTTTTTTTGGTATGTAAAAACTACATTTGCACTCAGAATGATTTGTGCATGGAGTAACTACACATCTTGCCTTTCCTGATCCCAAATGGACTCGCAAAATATGGCCCAAGCACTGAGCTAATATATGCTCCGGTCTTAGTGTGCTTTCTAACATCTGAAGGTCACCAATTCACCATTTTTGGAATCATTGTTTATTTCAATTATGTTATTAAAATAACATTAAATGACCAGTTAATTACTGAAACTATTGCACTTTTCTTGTCTCACCTGTTTATACTGTTAAAAATTTCAAGACTATAACTATTAAGTGCTTTCTTCACTCAGGTCAAGATGAACAGGCAACAGTAGAAAGGAATATTGTAGAAAAAAAGCAAGATATTGTGATATTTGTATCATTTTGAATTTGAAGTTAAAAGATGCATTGTGAAAGCAGCAATTACATCTAGTATTTTTTGGCTGCAAGGCTTGGGTAAAAATAGTGCTATGCTGCCAAAAGTTACTTACAGCTCATTCGTTATGCTAGGAGTAAGACTAATGACATCAAAATATCTTACCAAAATAGGTTAATGTAGCACAGAAGCCTGCATTAAAGCTGCACAGCATAAATTCATGGTAAATACTCTTGACAAATGAGGGCTCAGGGGAATTACAAGCCTAGACGTGATAATTGCCACATAGTATATATAGTGAAAGGAATAATTTTAATGATGCAATAGTGAACATACTGTATGTTCATCTTGACTGGGAATATCAGAAACACTATCGTGTGTGTGAAGTAGCAATATCAGCCTATGACCAATAAGTAAAATGAAAACAAATNGGGGCGGGGGGACACATTTTACACTAACTCATATAGCTTTTGTTAAATGGCAGTAGATCTTATGACAGAGTGAACTTATCTGTAAAATTATAATGTTCATACCAATTAAATTAACTTACACCCCTTCCAACCCAACCCTCTGTCCCTCCCTGCCGTATGATGATTGACTATTCCAAAGTTTTTTTAAAGTTTCTTCGCGCATGAGTAACACAAGCTCATTATTTTCCTACTACGATCCCTGTAAGCAAGAACAGCACTACGCTCGTTCTTTCAAGTAATGAGTGGTTTGTGAGTCTATCCTGAAGAGCTCGCCCACGAAGAAGCGATCTTTTTGCAGACCCGAGTTTAAAAAAGACTTGTTCTACTGCAGAATTTCACGCACCAAAAGTGTTCATTACAGATTGTTTTAAACAAGTTGGAAATTGTTACAGGCTTCCTTAAGGCAGGGTTAGAACAATGTCAGACGACAAGTGAATGCTCAGCCAAGACTTCTGTTATGAATTAGCGTTTCGTTAGAAATTGTGCGGATTGTGTACGTGCAGATTAGCCTTTGAAGAACGCATTATTTTAACCCAAAGAGTTACTGGTTTCTTTGTGTATTTTATTTTATTCTGTTTCCTTTGGCACCATAAGAATTGTTGTTCAGTTTGCTTTAATAGCGGCAACAATTAAATGTGGATCTGTAGTCAAAAAGGCAGGTTGCATCTCCCATGCAATATAAGAGCCGCTGGAGTTGTAGTAAACTTTTTTCCTTACTTTTTTGTGTGTGATTATTATTGTGAAAATGAAGAAAAAGAAAAACACCGTCTGGGTGTCGAGATGAATTGCATGGGAAATATCATGGGAATGCTTTCCGTTGACAAAGCCTGCTCCCCCACAAAGAGGCGAGAACACAGAAGAACAAATCTAAAATTACCTGTAGAGTTTTGATTTTCTGGCCATGCTTATTGAATGCCTTAAGATAAGAACGCAAATTGTATTTTTATGGACAGACCACAAGACGGAGCAAGAATATATAGGGCCTATATTCAGAATGAAGTTTAAACTAGGCAAAACTCTTAAACGAATGTTAGAAACAGAACCAAGGAAAAAATTCCAAAACACAGGTAGATATGCGGGGGAGGGGGGGTCTTATCACAATGATATTAGATCTTGAATGTTGAAAATATTGGTTGTGCAATGATTAATAGTTCCACCATTGGCAGTTCGGTTTGCTGTATATGTAAACAGGTGCTTTGGTGAATGGCGGCGAATGGGTGGGTACAGATGAACCCTCAACGTCAACATGCCATCGAACTGAATGAGAAAATAACATAAAAAACACGGAAGGTCACTGCGAGGTCTAATAGTTATTGAGTCTGTGCTTAATAGAATCTCCCCTTGATCAGCACGAGTGCAGGGCACCGGTCATCTAGAAAGCTAGCCTCCTGCCCAACGACAAGTTTGACCATTCTTAATAAAAAGTGCATTACTAGTGAACCATTAAAACGGGTCATAAATACAACGATTTTGCTGCTAAAGTGTTACTATGGCTGCCATTTGTCAGCAAACATTCTGGTGGAGAGAAAGTAGAGGAATTTGTGTGTCAGAAAAAAGGTCAGTGAATGAGTTTTGTCAAAGCTGTGTTTTTCATCAAGTTGTTATAATTGTGATCCAACGATTCACACAGGTGAAGTTCCCAGGGTTTGTATTATGAAACGGAGAAATTCGGTTTAGCTATGTCAATAGTCTAGGTTATTGGACGATGTTCATATGTCTCGTTCCATTGACTGCGCCGCGGAGAAAAGGTCGTTAAAACAGATGTCAAGAGACCGCATAGGCGTGAAATCAGTGAGTGTTCTTTGCAATAAATCCTTTTTATTTCATTAAATCCAGGTCCAAAGCCTACAAGGCCGGCTGGAAGTATGTCGGAGTTATTACGACCAAAAAGCGGGGTCATCACCTTTCCGAGGAGACGCGGTCGCCGTGGAGAAAATCGACAAGTGTAAGTAGTTTCGTTAAAGAAACTCAATTACGATCTCTTTAGGACCCTTGTTGGTAGGGTCAGTTCTGTAAACGTGTTTGAAGAACAGTATGTTACCTGTCAGTACGTTGCCAGGCGTTCTTCACGGGCCCACCCACCTCCCCGTTGAAACATTGAGTTTATAAAACACAAAGACTTTCAAGTGCTTTGTTATCATTTTTACCATCATTTGTTTTTACAACTAATGACTAACTGAGGGATGATCAGGAAATGAAAGGACGAGATATCATCAAACCTGCGCAACTTTAGAATTCAAGTGTCTGTAATTTAGTTCAGGGGTCATAAATTTGTTATGAAGAAAAAAAAAATTTAAATCCTGCGAAAAGCGAGAGAAACTGATGAGAATATTAAAAATACTAGGGTGAACGCAACTTAACATTCTATTCAGAGAAAGCAGCGCGAATCATAATTTCAAGAATCTACAAAAGTGATCAAATCACAGCATATGCGTATTTCCAATGTTTTAGCAAGACGCCCTGCAGACGTTAGTTTGCGCGATTCAGAGGGCGGAATTTCCAAAAGAGACGAATACTGAATTGCCTGATCATAAACTTCCGACAAGCTTCTTACCTGAACTAATGAAGCAATTTATTCATGTTAAGCCGAATATCATTTTCTTTACCATTCTAGCTATTTGCAAAAAGCGCCGAGGTATAGCGTTAGACCAGCCCATAACCCACACGTGGATGGAGGGACTGAAGGCGGGGGCCTGGTTCAAGGATCCGCTCCCGCGCGATGACGCCTCCAAAAAGAGAGTGTTTTACATGGTGACGCAGTACCATACCCCCTCGCAGAAAGGAAACTACGTTTACGGCTACGAGAACTATACAGACTTCATTGGGGGCGAGCTCTCGAGGCAAGCTGTCTATCCCATCATTTTCTTTTCGGGTACTGGGTCGGTTGTGTATAATGGGTCTTTATATTACGCAGATTATGACACTTCCTTGAAAAGGTACGACCTGTCCCGGGGGACTGTCGTCGCTCGCAATCACATCCGCCACTCCTCACTGTACCTGTACAACCGAGGAGGGCGCACGTACATAGACCTCAACGTAGACGAAAAAGGGATGTGGGCGGTGTATACCACCGACAAAGACAACGGCTACCTCATCATCAGCAAACTAGACCCCGAGAACTTGTCAATCCTCAAAACGTGGCGCACAAATCGCCTGAAAACCACTGTCAGCAACGTTTTCTTTGTCTGCGGTGTCATGTACACCATGGATTCTTACCAATTCCGGCTGCCAGGGGAGAAGCAGTACGTGTTTGACACTGAAACAGGCAAGGAGTATTACCAGAAGATCGCAGTGCCTAGCAAATACGGCGCCATTTACCAGTTAAGTTACAATCCCAGAGAAAGAATGATTTTTGCCTGGGACAACGGGCACCTGCTTACCTACCCACTGCAGTTTTTACCCGACTTCTCCTAAATAGTTCCTTTTAATGTTTTTTCAGGATCAAACTCGGTATGCTGTAAAACGATATGAAATCGGACAATCGAAAAGACAATGATATATTAAATATGAGTAATATATATACATAAACACTAAGCCGAAAATGCCTTTTGGGGTTGTTCCAAATATCACTTGCAGCATATAGAAGTTTCATGACTGGTTACACATGCTCCGATTATTCAGTGTTTTAAGAAGTGTAAAGGAAAAGGCCACTGCACATGTCTGCAGCAGGGCGCTGGTCTTACGAGGATGACATATTGTTCTGCAGGCCTACCAGCAAATCATGGTCGTATATGGCGTTACTTTGAACTACCATTTTACATCAGAACCGTTTGTAATAAAGACCACATCACGTGTTAATATATGATAAATTCATAGTAATGTAAACAGCCTATCCCCGAGGTCCTGCAACTGGAATGGTAATGGAGTGTGTTTGGTGAGATGCATGAGGCCATATTTAAATGTGATCGGGGATATGTTATTTTCCTTATTTATCAGCTCCCCACCAGTCTTGTTATAGGTTTAAATAGGCTGTGTGTGTGTGTGAGCAATTTATAAAATGTATAAATAGCTTGAGTTCACAACGAGACTTTAAAAGACTATTTGCCAAAATAATCAGGGACCTTTTAAACAGGCAAAGTATGGACGTTATTTATAATTATATGCGTTTTACATGTTTAAATTAAGATTTTATATAATATTTGTTGATATGTTTACATCGTTTTGCAAATCTGCATATTTAAACCAGTGTAGATGTCTGTATAAACACTTCACTTTATCATTCACGTTTATACTGTTTTGGCTTATTGGATAAGTGCAGAATTTTCTGGCCGTAATTTGGAACTGTATCAAAATGTATGAGCACAATTAACGAATAAAAACACACATGGATAGGTTGTTGTAAGTTGTTTCAATCAAATTTTCTTGGGGTTCTCAACCATTTCCTGGTGGTAATAAGCTCAAAACTAGAAAAGTACTCAGAGAGCTCAGATCTCTGTTCAGTTCCTCTCGTGATTATAAATCAAATAATGGATCGCCACAAAAATATTATCAATTTTACGTTAGCCCATCTCCTAACTATCCTGAACATTTTATCAAAATCCATCCACAACTTTTCACTTAAAGATGCCCAGCCTATTAAGTACAAAAACACTTTTGAGTTAAAACTAATTTTCATGAGGCAAAGGGTAGGCCCTATTTTCTTCAACTCATTGGTCTCATGATCCTCATTTCCCATAAAAATTAGTTTTGAACCCACACTAAGCGTACTCTCTGAACACAGGGTGCGCTAGTAGTCTGTAACAAAATTATTGTATCGCTCACATTTTAATTTTGTATACTATAGTACAAGTCTCTGATATCAGAGGGTACACTAAGCGTTTTTTTTTTTCAAATTCTCTTCGAGCACGAACTTTCAAGTTGCGCGCAATTCAAAACTGTCTGATGGGAGACGGGTAGCGGTCGGGAGCATCAGGAGGAAATAGATTAGTTTTTGGTGACATAAGCACATGGTATTGACCTGTTAAAATGGTCAAAATTATTTCCATGGGTAATAAGTGTAACAAGTGATTTATGTACTTTTCAGTAAAAAAAAAATCGTGGCTAAAATCTTACGCTTTGTCACTTTAAGTGGTTACCTAAAAAACCAACAAATACAAAAATTTTGACGGATGTAAATATATTTCCTTGACTTCAGGATAATGAACAATCACAGAGTCGCATGCACAATCCCTTGAGCGAAATTGCAAACTTTAAGCAGTTGTGAAAATGGTATTACTTTAAAAAGATGCAATGTGCCTTGGGGCAGTAGTGCTTAAAAAACCGAAAAATTCAAGACGATGAACATCCCATATCCTGACCATTGAAACAAATGTCAACAAAACACTATTGCTTAAATGATTTTATTTGAATATCAAAATGACTTTTATCTCCCAGTTACAATTCCAACCATTTAATTTAAAACCACCTATATTCTTTTATACTGTACAAATGCACATTAAAAATTGCTAACAAAAAAAACTTCACATCACCCCTTTACCCTCAAACAAACTGACTGTTGTAATTACATGTGACATCCAGAACCCACTTTCTAGGGGTTGTATGCACAAATCGCACAATTTTAAATCCAACACGGTGTCCAAATATCATATCTGGCGACGAGAGAGGAACGGACCAGCAAGGGAGCCAAATCAGGCAAAATATATACATGCCTTCCTATTCAAAGACTGCGGTATAGTGGCGAATCCATCTTTACTAATACCCATGACCACGTATCATGAATATGACTGCAGGTCAAAATGCGTTGCCATGAGATGGGCAAAATACATAGATTAACAGCTTGAATACAATGTATTTGTGAGTTATGCTAAAAAAAGTACGTTCTGTAGTCGATGCCAAGACCACTTTTGCGTGGAGTAGGAATGAGAACCTGGCGTTTTTTTTTTGTTTTTTTTTTTGCTTTTCTTTTTTTTCGTCTGTAAAAACCAGATTTGCATTCAGAATGATTTGTGCATGGAGTAACTACACACCTTGCCTTTCCTGATCCCAAATGGGCTCACAAAATAAGGCCCAAGCACTGAGCTTATATATGCTACGGTTTTAGTGTGCTTTATAATACATCTGAAGGTCACCAATTCACCATTTTTGGAATCATTGGATATTTCAATTATGTTATTAAAATAACATTAACTGACCAGTTAATTACTGAAAGTGTTGCACTTTTCTTGTCTCACCTGTTTATACTGTTAAAAATTTCAAGACTATAACTATTAGGTGCTTTCTTCACTCAGGTCAAGATGAACAGGCAACAGTAGAAAGGTATATTGTAGAAAAAAAGCAAGATATTGTGATATTTGTATCATTTTGAATTTGAAGTTAAAAGATGCATCGTGAAAGCAGCAATTATGTCTAGTATTTTTGGCTGCAAGGCTTGGGTAAAAATAGTGCTATGCTGCCAAAAGTTACTTACAGCTCATTCGTTATGCTAGGAGTAAGAGTAATGACATCAAAATATCTTACCAAAATAGGTTAATGTAGCACAGAAGCCTGCATAAAAGCTGCACAGCATAAATTCATGGTAAATACTCTTGACAAATGAGGGCTCAGGGGAATTACAAGCCTAGACGTGATAATTGCCACATAGTATATATAGTGAAAGGAATAATTTTAATGATGCAATACTAAACATACTGTATGTTCATCTTGACTGGGAATATCAGAAACACTATCGTGTGTGTGAAGTAGCAATATCAGCCTATGACCAATAAGTAAAAAGAGAATATGTGCAGTGATGGGGAGCCTTCCAACATGTCTAACAAGCACATTAAGCACATCAGTACGACCATTCAGTACCTTTGCCACATCTTAAGAGCCTATTTGGGATGAGGAAAACCAAGATGAATCATATGTGGTTCCCCCATGCAAAACAAAAAAAGTCAGGACTTGCGTACCTAAAATATGCAAATGTGTTCTTGGCACTGGCTATGAAAAATACTCTCAATTTGTGAGTTCCACCATCTTGAATGTGTTCCACTGTATCTATTCTTTCATATACAATTTATGCAATAGGAGCAAAAAGCAACCGTCTCTCCAGCCTATTAGAACTTCATATGCCTTTCTTTTTGATTTAAATTAATTACACCTTCTTCAATTGTTGCTACTCTATTCCTTTCAACAAATTTTAGACATTTAAAATATGTTCATATTTGTTGTACGTAGTGAATTTGTTTGTCAAGGTCATATCTGAATCCACAGAATATTTCTTATTTTATCTCCCCAGTGTGTGTCCCCCTTGGAATCCCCTCCTCATAGCTCTACCAGCACCTTCTTGTCCGCCCTGATTGCCCTGTCCATTGCTAACTTTCACAACTATAAATAACAGTGCCCCAAATACCAAGCCTGGCAGTCCAAACATGAGTCCAGCCAGTATCATCCCCACCGTGGCTATAGGTTCCACTGTGTAAGGTCCTAGGTTAAAGCGAGGGAGTCCAGCATCTAAAAGCTTCTGGTTCATCACTTCAAATATGGACACAGTCTGCACCCCTCCTGCTCCCTGTTGATAAGGGTTGTCATTGTGCTGTACAAAACCCTGGACACAGATGAATTTAGATTTATACAGATGAAATTATGCTGCCATTGATTTCTTGTGTATATTTAATAATTCTTTTAGACTGCTTTAAATGCAGAGTTAATTTGTGTCATGAAATCTAGTGTGTATTAGTTTGGAATATCTGATAATTTCATTCAGCATTTTGTGCAAAAGTATTTTCAATTTAGTGGAAAGTTCATCCACAATCAATTTATTGGAGGAAAACATTTATAGAAGCCCAAGCCTTCTAGATATACAGATATGAACAAGATAAACCATTTAAAATTTACAATGATATTTTCACAAACAGAATAGTCTAAAAATAATATTAACAAGAACTTACTCTTCTTTGACCTGATGAGCTGCTTTGCCCAGAATTCCGTTTTATTCTAGGGTCATCATCTTGAACTATGTCACCATTACTAAGTATTCTCACCATTATGGTATAACCTACAGTTGTACATGTGACAAATTAAAGTATTGCAGGTGAATCATTTTAAAATGCACACCATCGGCAATAATTATCAAGTAAAGATGTTACTGTAAATAGGGCTGTTATATGCACCTGCAACATGTAAGCACATGTTAAAAGGAGACAGATAGAAGTGTGAAAAAAAACTTAATTTTTTTTAATGCAACCAAGTTAAAGCAATCTGTGAAATTTTAATCACACCGAGTTAACCAATTTGCAGGAAAATACTACTTTTCTTGTGAGTTCCTAAATTTATCAATATAATTTAAATTATGATAAAAAGAAAACATCAAACCAATATATCTAAACAATATGATAATGACAAAACCAAGTTGAATTGATCTGAGAACAGATTTATAAACAATCACACTACTAAGTACTACATGTACTAACCTCCAAACCCATTTAAAAAGAGGAAAAATACTTACAGGTTTTCTTGCGAGTTCTTTCTTGTTTAGGTCAAACTCTCATGACTCAGGGAAAGGGAACCAATACAATACTCTTTGAAAAAAAAATGTGTTTACAAACAAATGAATATCAAACTGTACATATGTATATATAAGAACAACCTAACTAAACCACTCAACCTAAATGTGGCAAATGTATACGTCTTACGGAGTAAATACGAGGCTAAACGGCAATTGGACAATATTAATCTCACCTATACGAAGCGAGAATTTCCATATCCTCTTGAACACGGAAGTGAGTTCAGTCTGCATAGGTGGGTCAAAAGGCTTACGGTGAGTTATATGAAGTGGAATTTAGTGCAAATGAAGCACTAATTTAGCTTTGTTTGATCACATTTGAAAACCATACCTACCGTCTAGGTTAGGAAAGTAATGAAATATATGTGACAAGGAATACATATACGTGCATGTACAGTATTATGTAATAGTAAATGTTACCTGACACTGCATAATTGCATGACATTGAGTAATTAACAGTACTAATGAAGGAAGCAGGAGGCAACCCTTATATGGGGTTCAAGTAGGGTGAGGGGGTACCTGTAAAACCATATAACCGATACAATCATAATATTCCATTTAAAATTCGATTTATTACATGTATTACAATTACACAATAGTAAATAAAAAAAGGAATATAACTTACTGGCACTGTACTACGTGTACATGTAGATAGCATAATCATAATAATTTTGCTTAAATTCTAATTCACCCTTTCCTGCACCACCATACAGTATTAGCTTTAATTAGCAATGTGTAAAAAACAGAATTTCAGTTTGCGTTTTTGCTTATTAATAAGTCAGAATACATTTTCTTAAGACATAACTATCACAACTGTATATTAATGTAAGTGGATTGTTACAATATGCCAAATGGAACATGTGCTGGTAATGCACTGGTAATGCATTAGTGGTAACTACAATGATACCTTATTTTTTAAGGTTGTTTGAGGAATACTCATTGTCTTGACCAAAGTAATCTGTAGCAATGGGAAAGCATGGAAAACACGGACATTATAGAAGGAGTAGTAGCAGTTCTTCAAGCTCCAGTGATGATGAACGTGACCCCTATAAAAGGCAAAAGAAGGAACAGAAAAGAATACAGAAACTGATAAAGAAGGTATTTGCATATCTTTATCGTACTTGTATATTATGCTGAAGATCTCAGTGCAAGTTTCTGATCGGCTGCAGATGCTATGAAGGTTTTCATTTTTGGCCATTATGTTGAAAAACTTTTAAAGCAAAAAAAAAAAAAAATAATAATAATAATAATGATAAGCAAATGTAGTTAATACACCTCTTTTTAATTTCTCTGCTATAACCACTTTTACCCTGTTTGATCATGATTATTTTATTATGGCTCAGGGCAAACTACCAGTGGGATTTGTTGGTCCGCTTCCACCACAGTACCAGAAGATATCTAAGAAAGGCTATGGGTATCCTCAGGTAAACTTTCAGCTTTCAAGGAACATATGTTTTATGTCAGATTTGTTGTACCCGTTGTACCACCAATTACCCCTTTATAATGCTTTCTCTTTGTGGAGTGTATTTGAATCATTTTGTGATTCTATCTGTAACCCCTTTTTTTCTCAAACCAAAGGACAAATTCATCATATGAATAAATCCTATTCAGGCATAACTACTAGTATATATATATATATATATTTACTGAACTCTGTAAAATAATGAAAACGTTCCCTTCTTTTTGAAATTATTTTTTAGGGAGTACCAGGTGGGTACCCTGCACCTGGTGGGTACCCTGCCCCAGGAGGCTATCCTATGGGTTCCCAAGCCCCACCCCCAGCAGCAGGGTATAACCCTCCACCCCCAGGAATGGCCTATCCACCCCAGCCTGGCATGGCAGGAGGAGCTTACCCGCCACCCCCAGGTGAGCACCAATAATAGGGCACATAGATTTGATAATTGTGGAAGTGAAAATGATTAAAAAAGGTGTGAACATGCTGATATTTATCATATGCTGCTGTAAGTTTTTCATCATTATGGTATAAGAATTTCTATGTTTTTTTTTCAGTTTGCCTTGCAAGCACTCAGTTTGGCAAATTTATATAGACTGTACATTGCTAAAGAAGTAGTATAGTTATGTAATGCTCAAATAATGAAAATATTACATGTAGAAGCTTTTTTTTTCATTAAGAAAAATTTTCAAGTTATAATATTCCAGAAATAGCACTTTCATTGAGTAGCTTAAATTCTTTTATTTTGCCTATCAGTTGCATACCCACCTCCAGCAGGTGGAGCACCACCCTTCTCTGCACCTCCACAGCAACCATATCCTGGGCAGCAGCCATATCCTGGGCAACAGCCGTNGCAGGAAAATACTACTTTTCTTGTGAGTTCCTAAATTTATCAATATAATTGTGATAAAAAGAAAACATCAAACCAATACATTTAAACAAGATAATAAAGACAAAACGAAGTTGAATTGATCTGAGAACAGATAAATAAGCAATCACACTACTACTACTAGTAGCAACATCCCATTTAACCCATTTTAAAAGAGGAAAAATACTTACTAGTTTTCTTGTGAGTTCTTTCTTGTTTAGGTCAAACTCTCATGACTCAGGGAAAGGGAACCGATACTCTTTAAAAAAAGTTTTGTGTTAACAAACAAATGGATATCTAACAGTACATATGTATATATAAGAACAACTAAACCACTCAACCTAAATGTGGCAAATGTATACGTCCTACGGGGTAAAGACGAGGCTAAACAGCAATTGGACAATATTAATCTCACCTATACGAAGCGAGAATTTCCATATCCTCTTGAACACGGAAGTGAGTTCAGTCTGCTGCATAGGTGGGTCAAAAGACTTACGGTGAGTTATATGAAGTGGAATTTAGTGCAAATGAAGCACTTATTTAGCTTTGTTTGATCACATTTGAAAACCATACCTACCGTCTAGGTTAGGAACGTAATGAAATATATGTGACAAGGAATACATGTATCCGGTGCAGTATTATGTAATAGTAAATGTTACCTAGCTGACACTGCATGATTGCATGACATTGAGTAATTAACAGTACTAATGAAGGGAGCGGGAGGCAACCCTTATATGGGGTTCAAGTAGGGCGAGGGGGTACCTGTAAAACCATATAACCGATACAATCTGCATAATATTCCATTTAAAATTCGATTTATTATTACAATTACACAATAGTAAATAAAAAAGGAATATAATTTACTGGTACTGTAATACACTGTACATGTACATGTAGATGGCATAATCATGATAATTTTGATTAAATTCTAATTCACCCTTTCCTGCACCACCATATCAGCTTTAATTAGCAATGTGTAAAAACAGAATTTCAGTTTGCATTTTTGCTTATTAAAAAGTCAGAATACATTTTCTTAAGACATAACTATCACAACTGTATATTAATGTAAGTGGATTGTTACAATATGCCAAATGGAACATGTGCTGGTAATGCACTGGTAATGCATTAGTGGTAACTACAATGATACCTTATTTTTTAAGGTTGTTTGAGGAATACTCATTGTCTTGACCAAAGTAATCTGTAGCAATGGGAAAGCATGGAAAACATGGACATTATAGAAGGAGTAGTAGCAGTTCTTCAAGCTCCAGTGATGATGAACGTGACCCCTATAAAAGGCAAAAGAAGGAACAGAAAAGAATACAGAAACTGATAAAGAAGGTATTTGCATATCTTTATCGTACTTGTATATTATGCTGAAGATCTCAGTGCAAGTTTCTGATCGGCTGCAGATGCTATGAAGGTTTTCATTTTTGGCCATTATGTTGAAAAAACTTTTAAAGCAAAAAAAAAATAATAATAATGATAAGCAAATGTAGTTAATACACCTCTTTTTAATTTCTCTGCTATAACCACTTTTACCCTGTTTGATCATGATTATTTTATTATGGCTCAGGGCAAACTACCAGTGGGATTTGTTGGTCCGCTTCCACCACAGTACCAGAAGATATCTAAGAAAGGCTATGGGTATCCTCAGGTAAACTTTCAGCTTTCAAGGAAGATGTTTTATGCCACATATGTTTTATGTCAGATTTGATGTACCCGTTGTACCACCAATTACCCCTTTATAATGCTTTCTCTTTGTGGGGTCTATTTGAATCATTTTGTGGTTCTATCTGTAACCCCTTTTTTTCTCAAACCAAAGGACAAATTCATCATATGAATAAATCCTATTCAGGCATAACTACTAGTATATATATATATATATATATATATATATATATATATATATATATATATATATATATATATATATATATATATTTACTGAACTCTGTAAAATAATGAAAACGTCCCTTCTTTTTGAAATTATTTTTTAGGGAGTACCAGGTGGGTACCCTGCACCTGGTGGGTACCCTGCCCCAGGAGGCTATCCTATGGGTTCCCAAGCCCCACCCCCAGCAGCAGGGTATAACCCTCCACCCCCAGGAATGGCCTATCCACCCCAGCCTGGCATGGCAGGAGGAGCTTACCCGCCACCCCCAGGTGAGCACCAATAATAGGGCATATAGATTTGATAATTGTGGAAGTGAAAATGATAAAAAAGGCGTGAACATGCAGATATTTATCATATGCTGCTGTGAGTTTTTCATCATTATGGCATAAGAATTTTTATGTTTTTTTGTTTCAGTTTGCCTTGCAAGCACTCAGTTTGGCAAATTTATATAGACTGTACATTGCTAAAGAAGTAGTATAGTTATGTAATGCTCAAATAATGAAAATATTACATGTAGAAGCTTTTTTTTTCATTTAAGGAAAATTTTCAAGTTATAATATTCCAGAAATAGCACTTTCATTGAGTAGCTTAAATTCTTTTATTTTGCCTATCAGTTGCATACCCACCTCCAGCAGGTGGAGCACCACCCTTCTCTGCACCTCCACAGCAACCATATCCTGGGCAGCAGCCGTATCCTGGGCAACAGCCATACCCAGGGCAACAGCCGTATCCTGGACAACAGCCTTATCCACGTAAGTTTTTTTTTTTTTTTTTGACAAAACCCTCAATTTTCCTTGCATGTATATTTTTGTCTGATTTGATTTGAAAATGAAAATGGATATACCAGTAAGCTTTTCCTTAAAAGGAATAATTTTAAATTGTTTTTGAGGTCTGTGCCTATTACAGCTTCATAAAATTGGTATTAAAGAAGCATAAGATAAAGCATGTAATGAAGCATTTTTGTTTACATTTCATAGCTAAGTGGAATGGAAAATGTATCAATTGAAACATAAATTTACACAAAAAATGACCTGTATCTTGTCTGTTTTACATGACATGTTGGAGTAGTTCAGAAAGATGTACTAAGTATATCTGGTAACCTAATATTTCTTTTTATCTCAGGCTTGTTTGTTTCAAGACTCATCTAAAATAATCAGTTGATATGTGTATGAAAAGAATGTATCTGGGGAAATAAATATTGCATAGGTTTATGAAATGGTACATCAAAAGTTTAGGCATTTTGTTATTTAGTGATATGGGATTATTTCTGACATGTTACTGGTCTTTTGTATTTCAGGCTACTAGTGACATGGAACTCTTGGGGTGGAAATGGTGCAATATATCCATATTAAGACATCCTATAATATTTTTATAACAAGTGTGATAATAACATTCGCCTTTAGAAAAGTGATTTGAAATAGTTTTTCTCTAAAAACTGTGGTATGTTTGAATCTATATGTAGGTACATGTGTGTAGAACATGTTTAAGAAATTCCTGTAGTCTACAAATTATAAACAGTCTATATTTGCTGTGCTGTGAAAGGTGCAGTGTGGATGTTTTACTTGGTCTGGTGGTGTACATAAATTTATAAATAATGGACTTCTTGTTTTTTGTTAATTGAATTTTTTAATTAACATGTTTATATTAGAGTGCATTTTTAAAAATGATTAAAGAATGTAATGTTGTGTTACAATTTGTTTGTTTTATATTAAATATGGTGATATCATGAAAGCATTTCTAGTCCTTGGTTGCATTTGCAAGAATTTAACTTCAAGTTGGTATATCCATTTTTTTTTCACACCTTTTGAATATGGTAACTTCAGGTGAATTAGAAAATTATGTAAATGTATATTGTCAATTGAATAAAACAGCTCAAATAGGTCATAGAATTGTCATTTTTTAAATCATTTTTTGCTGTCAATTAAATTTTGTTAAAAGAAAGAAGTCCCATTAACAGGATATAATCTGTTTTAAAGAATCGAAAAAGTGCATAGAATTTGTATACAAAAGTGGGCAGTTCTGAAGGTTTATCTGATCGTGTGTACAGTTCTAAAACGGGGCATATAAAATGCTGAAGAAGTCCATATAGTAGCAAGAAACAAAAATATCAATGTTTTTTTTTTTTTCAAAAGCTGACACAGCATTTCATTCATATTTAGACGAAAGTATGGCATGCATCTAAGAAGGATAGTAGAAACAATTCAAAGTATAGACACTCTTAGCTAAATGGTCAGAGTATTTATCGGTTTGACCAGTGCTTTTTGCATGCAAGGTAAAACGGAAAGCTTTATCCCAGTGGAATTCTAAAACTATTTTCTTGCTCTCCTTCAGATAAGCCTTCAGGTGTAACTCCACCTAATGGTCAGCAACCGGGTAGCTATCCTGCACAGTCTCAATCTGGGTATTCCTCTGGGCCTGGTCAGCCACCTTCCAGCTATCCAGCCCAACCACCCACAGGATATCCAGCCCAACCATCTGGGTATCCAGCCCAGCCTAGCACTGGGTATCCGGCCCAGCCTAGCACTGGGTATCCAGCCCAGCCTAGTACTGGGTATCCGGCCCAGCCTAGTACTGGGTATCCAGCCCAGCCAGCTGCAGGTAATTATCCAGCTCAGCCACCTGCCAGCTATCCAGCACAACCAACAGGGTATTCCTCTGGTTCAGCTCCGGGCTATTCTCAGCCATCTGCTCCTGCTGGTGCTCCATATCATCCTTCAGGTACTTGGGCTTGCTACAACTTTCTGCTTCTGGGATTTTTACAAGAAAGAATGTCTTTTTGTGTAGTCTTTGTTTCTGTTAAGTTGTTTGCTGCATGTGGTTCACACATAGTATTTTCTGGTCACTGTTTGCTGCTGTAAATTCTGCACTTGGTATTAACTGTAGAGCTTCAGCACTATAATATAAAAGACCCTATATAAAAAAGAAAAAGACCCCAACTTAATGCGGGCCTGTTTAGTGTTAGAAGACCATCTGCATGTTTTAACTCAACAGTTAGTCTGTTAACTGTTCATTTTGCTTTTGCCTCACTTATTATGTTGACTTCAATTGAATATCATAGTGAATGCTAAATGGCTTTCAAATCTATTTGATGTGACATGATTGGACTAACAATACATTACTGACTCATCATGCTTTTAAAAATACTCTTTGCTCACAAATTCAGAAGTTACCAAACATCTTATTTATTTCCTGATATAAATAGAACCCATTTGAGAACTTATGAATAAAGGAAAACTTTTATACATTTTTTACCAAAACCTTATCAAGTACATACAAGACCTTTGCCAGCCTTTTAATTGATGCCAAGTTACAGAAAATACCATTTTTAACTTAATCTTTATTTTGTTTTTAAAAAATGTGCACATTTTTAAAGTGACATTATATGGGATTTGAGCTGTAAAGTTTTTTCTGGCATAATCTATTTTGTAGTCGAATCATCCTTTCCTTCACAGATTTCTAAACAAAGAATGATATGGCTTGCCGATGTACAACTTGGAAAACACTTGTTTCTTCACTTGGCTCAACTGGTTCTTGCTTTATCACTTCACATGAAAATTCAAATTTTAGACTGGCATTTTCATTTTGAATTTTCAAATAACAAAAGTGCCCATGACTTATGGCAATAAAAATCCCATATTAAGTCCTGTTAACAGAATAAATTTTACTAATGATTTCACTGATTTTCATTTTTCATCTTTTGGTCCTGTTTATATTACAGCAGGTGGACCATCAGTAAGTACATATTATTATCTTAAAAATTTCTAGTCTCAGTTCTGTTTTACTAGTATAAAGTTTGTATTATATTAAGATAAAAGGAAAATAAATCAAAATGTGATATTGATATGATCTGCATTCAATAATTATATAATTATGGTTTTGTACTTGTTTTAGATTGTTACATAATTATATACTTGTTTTAAAAAAGATGATATGTGAATAAAGTTCAAGAATGAGTGGGATGTTTATTAATAAAACTTCATTCATATATATTATCATAAATTGAATATTTTAACAATGTTATATGAATAAAGTTCATGAATGAGTGGGATGTTTATTAATAATACTTCATTTATATATATTATCATAAATTGAATATTTTAACAATGTTCAATAGATGATATAATTCAAAATCATATCTTTTCCAAGATTAGATATAAGCCGATGTGATATTTTTAACTTGTATGAAACAATGTGAATAGATGATATCAATATCAGCATGAACCACCCACTATACCACCAGTTATAAAATCGTTTGACTGCAGATCATCTCTTCACATTATTTTAGCATTTACTGGCAGACTAGTGAATTATAATCTACTCAGGTATTGAGATTCCAGAAGTAAAAATTTTAATGTGTAAAGAGTAATATAGAACAACTATATTTTTTATGGTACATTGATAACACAATTCCAGGCTTTACCCTCTGCTGTCAAAGCTTGAGTTTCAGAAAAACTTTTGTTTTATTGTTGTTCCTAGGCTCCACCTCCTGCAAGCTATAGTGGTGGCGGTATGGCTCAGGCAACAGCAGAATTTGACAAGTTGAAGATTGGAGGCACAGCAGAGCAGTTTGTTGGAACTATACATCCAGCAAACTACATGTCATTTAGTGCAGAAAAAGATGCTGAAGTGTTGAGAAAAGCCATGAAGGGTTTGGGTAAGCTAGTGAAAAATCACAAATATGGGTCTTTTATATGAAGTGAGCATACGGGTACTGTATATACTTTGTAACGCATATCCACTTCTGTTTAATTTAAGTCGATATGCCAAAAGATTAACCAAATTAATTACTCCGTCAGCCAAAAAATAGCTGTAGACTACATTGTACAATTGCACCTTTTTTCAAAATTCTGGTTTGAAACTTGACCTATTTATCCACACATCCAGTTTGTTAAAGTCCACCAAATGGTGTAGTAATGTTCATGTAATATGACACATTTCAAAACAGCAAACTGAGCTTTCTTCCCTGTATGATCCTTACATATTATATTTGTTATATTATTCATATATTGTTTACTGTAGGAACTGATGAGCAAGCTATAATTGGAGTTTTGTCCAAAAGGTCCAATCAGCAACGACAAGAAATAGAGAAAATGTTTAAGACCATGTATGGCAAGGTTGGTGCAAAAACTGTTTATTTAGTTGAAAATTTTTAGATTATTTCTGCATGTCAGGCAGGCCTGATATTTTGCTAAGGGCTTCCATTTAACACTTAACTTGCTCCAACTGCCTTGTCCTAGGTTAATTAAAGATTAAAAAATTTATTTCAAATAGCTGACTTTACCCTAGGACCCACTAAACAAGTTGTTTAATAGGTCCTACATGAACCTTTACCTCCTTTTCCATGATTGATATGTTTGATGAAGAAATATGCCGTCGCTTGTATTAAATTTAAATTCTAACTGTACGTACTTGTTGCAGGACCTTATTCGTGAATTGGAGTCAGAGCTGAGTGGAGATTTAAAGGAGGCCATCATGGGTTTATTTAAACCAAATGCTTATTATGATGCTTGGTCTCTTCACAATGCTATGGTGGTAAGTGAGGATGTCAGACAGATTTGTTCTAAGGTCAGACAAATTGATAAGTTTGTTAACAAGCATGACCAACCCTAATTTTGAGGCTTTAAGATTTTTTCCATTGGCCATTGCTTTGATAAGTGAGAAAAATGTGAAGTAAAAATTTAATTTGATTAGAGATTCAAGATTTAGAGAAAGATACGTACCCCAGTACATGATGAAGAATTGTTATTACCACAGAAATTATCAGTGATTTTCATTATTTGGATGATGTTTCACTATTTTATAGGGACTTGGCACCAAAGAATCAGTGTTGATTGAGATACTATGCACCAGAACCAATGCACAAATAAAGCAAATTGTCCAAGCATACAAAGATCGTAAGCCAGTTTTCTGTGCTCTGCTATGAATGAATAATTGAAACTGACAAATCAAAGAAGTTATTTTTTGCTGCCAACTATATACAATTAGTTTGGGGGGGGGGGGGGGGGCGATTGGCTTGAAATTTGATGCTTGAACCAAAGGTTGGAAATGCATAGATTTTAGTATATGAATAGAATATGATAATGAAATAATTCATCTCTAATATTTTAATATTAAAGATTAAAAACTGAAGTTAAAGTGATAATGTTATTCATGATAATATTGATGTTGCCAATGTACAAATTTCAGATTTCAAACGTGACCTTGAGCGTGACATTATGGATGACACAAGTGGACATTTTAAAAGACTGCTGATTTCATGCTGCCAGGTAATAAATCAAGAAAGCATTTGATAAATAAACAGATTTTTGTTTTTATCTCCTTTAGTTTTTTTATTTTGAAAATAAGAAATACTAATTCTTGGGCTTTAATTACTACCATGTTGCCTTTTTTACTTTTAAAAATATCTGCGACAAATATTAAAAACTCTGACCACTCAAATGTCAAAATGAAAAAAAAAACCAAAAAACAATATAACAAATGAATTCAACTGATACAAGGCTAGGATTTCAGTTTAAACTGTGTTGTCATGTTACAATATTTAATATGATACAACTTGAAATTCCACCAGGGTAACCGAGCTGAGCTTACTGATGCTCAGTGGCAGCAGGTGTTCAGCAGCGGTCCGGAGGCTGTAATAGACAGAGCCCTGGCCAGGAGGGATGCAGAGGAACTATTCAGGGCTGGCGAGAAACAACTGGGTACCGATGAGTCCACTTTCCTGAGGATAATGGCTACACGAAATTACTATCAGATGAGAGCAACATTTGAGGAATATGCTAAAGTAAATATAACATTTTTTTTTTTTTGTTTTGCTTAAAAAAGTGTTAATAAAAACATGATAATTGTTTTCAAAGCAAATTAATGGAAAAACAAAACCCAGTTTACTTCATATGTTTAATAATTAATCTACAAGGAGAGATTTTGAGTATATTATCAGAAATGATTATTGCTTATTGACTCTAAATTATTTTGAATAAGTCAATAAATGAACTCTTTGGATGCAGTTTTAATTGAACATTTTTGCAGGTATCTGGCCATGATATTTTGCAAGCAATAAGCAGTGAAATGTCTGGCAGTCTTGAAGATGCTTTTACTGCACTAGGTAATCAAACTGAAAAACTAGTGTAATATTGTGAATCTCCTTTCAAAACTCTCTTTGGACATTTTAATCAAGTAATGAAATGGAAGGATTGTAATGGATCGCTACAGCTATGCAATCTGATTGCCTGTAGATGTCAAGCAGTACAGTTAAACCTGGGTTTGGCCCAGTATTTTAACATCAATGATGGTTGCACATTGCAGCTAGGTTCATAAACCTTATATTACCCACATGCTGCCATCCTAATTATTTTCTTATGACAGTGTGATGTAATATTCAGTAAAGAAAAAACAGCAATTAGTCTGTTAGTTGTAGATTTTAAACATTTTTTAAATTGGTAATTGTGATTTACAGTGATGAGCTGCAGGGACAGACCTGAGTTCTTTGCCACAAAGCTACATAAAGCTATGCAAGGACTAGGAACAGATGACTCCACTTTGATCAGAATAATTGTGTCGAGGTCTGAGGTCAGTGAAATTGCTTTCTTATTTTGTATTTTCAGTAATTTCTCATAAACAAAATGGTGTTATTTTTCATATATCCATATAGTTACATATTCTGATCACCTGTGTTAGATTTGGTGCCGTTCAGAAAGAAACCTGGCTGTTTGTTGGGGGGGAAACTGTTATGTGTGAAGTGATCATTTGGTCTAATTAATTATTATGTTTAATTTTTGGTCTCTTTTTGATGAGGCAAAAATTCAAAGATTTGGAAAAGCAAAATATATTTATTTGTTCTGAAAAAAAATTTAATAGAATTTTACATCAAGAATTAAAATAATTCAGGTACACCATTTTTTAAAGCCTCATTTTGAAGTTGTTGAGTTTCTTTTGTAATCAGAGACAACATTAATTTTACATTTATGCTGCTTGTATCTGTTATTTTTTGGAGGGTGTCAAGGAGGGGTATACTAGTAGTTAAATGACCTTTATGTAAATAAATGTATTACATGTAACAACACCACAATGTTTTATTGAGTGGCAAATCTATTCCAAAGAAATGATGTTACAATGCGTAGCTTTTACTTTGATTCGTGCAATTATCATTTTCAGGTTGACCTTCAGAATATAAAGCAGGCATTCCTTCGGAAATATGGGAAGCCTCTTATGAAAATGGTGGAGGGTGAAACAAGTGGAGATTACAGGCGCCTTATGTTGGCACTTATTGGTGGAAACTAATAATACATAAATAAAAAATAATAATGAATAATTCTGAAAAAAGGTTTACCCCTGAATCTGGAAAGTGGAAGCATATATATCTGATAATAGCCAATGTGTCAGAAGTCATTACCATAACCAATAGTTATGTATTGCAATATATTAACATCACATGTAGAGCAAAAATATGTTCACATGATAAATAAGGCATTACCTTTCAGCTCATCATGAAAGAAATAAACTGGATTAATCATGATTATTGAAATAAATTGGATTTTGAATAATGTGATTGCAATTTTATCTATAATGACGAACTTTTAAAAAAACTATGTCAAATTATCACTTATTTCAATTTTAACATTAGGGTAATGTGGTGAAAAATTGGACTAATCCATTGGTGCAAATACTGTGGAAGATGTGTATCTGATCTTGATATGTGGCAAAATATGTAGAAATTTTTCAAATAAAGCGATCCGCTGTATACTCTTTTGATATTTTGTATCATTATTGTTAAACTAAAATATATTAATAAGGTGTTACTGCACATTTCCTGCAGGCACTATTAGTCTAGGTATCCAGGGACATACATTATGCTTTTAATAATGCTGCATGTCACAATCATGAGTTTGTAAATTAAATTCTGGTAATATTTGTGATGATATCCCCAGATTGTGCCCATTTTTAATAACATTTTTGGAAAAGGGGCAGTATGGGGGTGGGGGGGAATGCTAAGGCATTGTATGTGTTATGCCAAAAATATTCTAGCCAAAAAAAGAAAGGCAAGTTTTTTATATCTATGGTTCTAATATACTTTTTCATACAATAGTGTTAACGTGGCATAAATGTTAGTATGTTGTTCAATAACAGGTGTGTTGATAAATGTGTGTTGAGCACCCTGAGCTTCAGAGCTAACTTGACACTAACCTTTTCACTGTAGCCTATCTCCATCGTGTCAAGTAACACGATGGAGATAGGCTACAGTGAAAAGGTTAGTGTCAAGTTAGCTCTGAAGCTCAGGGTGGTGTTGAGTGTCTAAAAAGCCCAAGGAAAACCAACCACTGTAAGGGCAGCTCTGTCCAGGTGCACCTTTTTGTGGATATTCTAAACCATTATAAATATTGTGTGGCTTAAAAAACTTACTAAATTCAAAGTTCAACAACTTCAACAGTTTTTGAGATAGTGCATTGAAATTTGGGATATTTTGGGAAAATGATGCTTATAATAAATGCTGTAAAATACAAGACTCTGCCTTTCTTAGTTTTGGCACACTGAGAAAATTAAAATGTCAAGTATAAGTTAATAAATGCCACGCCAGCCTGTCTGACTTCTGACAGGTGCCAGTGTCTGGCAGTTTTGACATCTGTTGGGTGCAGATGTCTGCTACTGCAGGTTTTAAGACATGATTTTTGTGAAAATGGAAGTATAAATAGTGACCATTTAACTTAGTATTTTCAAACCTACAGAAAAGAAACAAAGGACTAAAATACAGCTTCAGTTGGTAAACCAGTCTGATTGGATTATTTTTCTGTAAGTTATACAGTTTTTTCTATTTTTTTTTTTTTTTTTTTTTTTTTTTGAAATTTCAGTTTTTAATATATTGGCATTTTCTAGGTGTGACTTTGAACTTCCATGGAGTTGAAGACCCTTGCTGATCACATTTTCTTACCCTGTTCTATAGAGCTAACACATGAAAAGGTATAGTGAACAAGCTAGCTTTATAGTGCCATGACACTCTGAGTACATTTTCTGAGTATCCATGATACTTATTATTAAAAATTGATGGTCAATTTGTTGTTAAATATTATGGTATATCATATCAAAATTGAAGAAAACCCTATTTTGGGCACTTCAAGAAAAACCATGTTACCAGTACTTCTGATTCTCAAACTTACTGAAAAGATTTGTACAGCTAGGACTGAAGTGCAGCTCGAGTTGTGAACCATGCAGTCTGATTGTTTTCTCTTCTGGAAGCAATGAAATTAAAAAACTACTTTGTGCACTGCCACCACAAACATTATGAAAAGAAAACTGTTACTTATTATTTTGAAACTTATAAGTGTGATGCTTAGGATTGAAATACAGCTCAAATTGGAAAACCAGCTTGACTGGATTATCATTTTTCCTCAAATTTATGTAATTTTTTATGAAATTTTAATTTTTCTCATTCTGGCATTTTCCAAGTGTGAACTTGAACTTTTATGGGCCTGAAGCCTTATGCTAGTTACACATTTAACTTAAACCTGTTCTACCTGTTGTGCATAGGTAATTAAAATTTGGTGTTGACTTTGCTATGTATTACAGGCCCGTAGCCAGCAATTTCAAAAGGGGGGTTCTTTTTCTGAAGAAGTGGACCTTTTCCCATGAAACCTTCATGTACCTAGATACAATTTTACCCAGAGGGGACCTTTTCCCAGCAAAAAGGGGGGTTCTTTTGACCCCCCTGAATCCCCCCTGGCTACGGGCCTGTATTATTACATGTGCATCAGAATTGACAGGAGCCTCTTTTGCGCATCGGTATATTCTGCTTTTTGTCTGTACATTTGACAGCTTTGCTGCCTTGTTTTGTTAAAAGGGATTCAATTTGTCCTTAGAATTGATACTGGAATTGAACTTATGAAGTGAAGAAGGAAATGATATACCCCAATTTGGTGAAACTTGATGCTGTGCACAAAGCTTAGTTAAGATAAGAAGATTGGACTCTGGTTAGTGATCATGTGGCACTTAATATAACTTGGATTAACCAGGGTGAAATCACAATACATATAATCCCAAATATTACCAATAGGATAAAAAGACACTTGTGGGTGGTATACTGAAAAACAGGACATTAATTGTTATGGCAGATGTGCAGTCCATGCTATTTACTTAATTGTAATGCAAATTTTGTAACGAAAATGATGAAAAGTCTAGCAATTACAATGAAAAAACAAACTATTTAGATGTAAATTTATTTCAGTGTCTTCTTGCTTGGATCTAGATCTCCCTTAACAATCATATACCACTCTAAGCCAGGGTTTTATTCAAATATTTAGTTCTTGTCCATGATGTTTTTTTTTTAATAAAGTGGTACCAACTTACTTAAATCTAAGATCTAATAAACGGATATATTAGATCTTAGCTTAAATAAAGTTGTTCACTATGTTCCTGCCAGAAATTTGCGATCAGTAGATCAACTGTTACTGAAACCTGTAAAAATGCAGCTTAAAATATATGGGAACATCTCTTTCAGGTCTGCTGGTCCAATGGAACATAATATGGTACCAACTGAAATTCCCTCAATTGAATCAACTGTTAATCTTTAAAAAAAAGGAGTTTAAAACATCTGTGTAGGAAATTTATTATTATCTCAATAGTCATTGGTTTTAAGTCAAAAATAGGCTGTTTTTTTATCTGGAATAGTAAACTTTCTTAACATTTTTTTATTTTTATATCTTGGTAATTGTGATATAAGTACATATGTCAAGTCTACTGAACATTTTAAATTGATTTCAGACTTAAAATAAATTTATTATTATTATTATTATTATTATTATTATAATTAACAAGTTGTTTGGTGTATCTTAGCTTTGTCCCATTTCAGCAATGCATTATTGCATAATTAGGTTGGAAAAAGGTGGTTAAACTTGCATGCAAATTAACTCAAGTTGAAGAAAACATCTGAAATGATTGTTCAAAATTGCAATTTAAAAAGATGAGAAAGTGCAAATGACATGCAAAGAACGTTTAATCAAAAGTAAAATATAAATCTGAACAATAATGAAATTAACAATAATCAAATTCGCATGTGCTCATTAGAAAGAAAGTAAACTTGTTTCTGTTGTTTACATTGTTGAAATAAAAACTTAAGAGAAAAATGTAATAAGGATAATCAGTACATAAAAATCCAGAGAGGAACACAATTATATTCAGGCACACCACAGAAATCTCTACTATCTGCAAGAGGTCTTTCTTGTTGTTTCAAAATTCTTCGTGCAATTTTGTAATAGCTAGGGTAGGTGGCCTCTGATTGCAGATTATCTCCTGCAGTTTCACTGTCGGCTATGTTAGGTTACATCTGATTGCAGATTATCTCCTGCAGTTACAATATCGGTGGATGAAATCAAAATTACCACCGTTTCCTGTTACTAATAATCTTGGTTGAATAAACGATCAGAAACAAACCAGAACTGTCGCTGTCTAATATTCGAAGATATCGGTAGAATGAAAGCACAGTTTTGGATTGTCAGATCTCTATAGCCAACTACATCCTCCCTTCTATTGTTTTATCTTCCTATATTCTACTGTCTTTACCTTCTACCAGGGCCACAGAGAGCATATATTCACAGAAATATTCACATATATTTATCTCGCTATTCACTAGCTATGCATATTTCTACTACTCTGTCAGATGTTTTTTTTAGTAATAACGGAACCACACAGCCGGCCTCTCCCATGGTCTCTGGTAAAGAGTAAAGTGAACCTAAGTATTTTTGTTCCAATACGAACATAATGTACAATCATAATGCAATTTACCGTGAAAATGTCTTATCGCATAGAATCTTAATGAGCCAAAAATACTTAAAACTAACTTAAAGGGATAGCAACTCTTCGTATGTAAACAACTCGTAGAAATATAAATTCAATTTTTACCACCAAAACGGCGGTTATCACAATGGGGCCGTAGCGATAGTCCGAAGGTTCAATAGTCCGAAGGTTCATTGGTCCGAATGTTCACTATAGAACCTTCGGACCAATGAACCTTCGGACTATCGAGACGCCCCCATCACAATTCTACTAAAATCTGTGCATGCCATCAAACCACGTTAGGACTCAATAGAGGAAATCCATTTTTGGCCAAAATGAACAGTTGCTATCCTTTTTACATATTATTATACTATAAGTATGGTTACTTTTTTATTTAACTATTTTGAACATACCTCACAAAAATATATCCCAATTAACAATATATTTTAAATATTATATTTCTAATCTACAGACTTGACACTCAATATGGAATATTTTTTCAAATCATTTTCATCAGTTTTTTTCCTATTTAGCTTACTGAAAAATGAAAACAAGGATTAAATTCGCGTTTTAAACACTTTAAATATCTCTTTGATGTCATTGTAACATTAGTTACTCAATTGAATTCGCAAGTGATACAAACAAAAATACATTGCCTCTTCTAAGCCATACGTCAACCATTAAAAGCGATATTTTGGATCTCAATATTTTCCAAATTAAAAGAGTTACACGCCCCACAAAGAACCCTCATGTCAGTGTCTAGTCACAGCAACGGTCCCTCTAACACCTGACTTCATCCGGCTGTTATCAGGGCTCTCTAGCGGCAAGCCATTCCTTTAATCTGGAATAACATTCCAGGCATCGGTCAAAACTTGTCCAATTTGATTCAGTTTTGTTGTAGGACATGTAGGCCATTGATTCAGCGAGTAATGACCTACCCATATATTGTCTATGTGGTTCAAACCTGGCGATTTCGAT